TGAAAACCAAACCAACCTCAACTTCCCCTTGTCCCTATAAGCTTCTTGTGGCCCCAGTTGGTCGTTGTGTTGAGTGTGCTTTAGGTGACTGTTCTTCTTTATGTAAGATGTAGAGTAGACAAGTAGAGGGCATTTCCAAACTTGACGCATCAAAGGATAAAAAGGATGTCCGTTACAATTGTCTATTTTGACCATATATTCTAGTGTTTTATCAGGTGAACAATTGACTTGCCTTTGCATGTGTTTGTGATGGATACCATCGGTGGGTCAGATACCCTAACCTTTTCACAAACACCTGGTATCATTATTCGGTAGTGATTCATAAACACATGCTGATGATAAAGTCGGAATAATACAATGGACTCTACTTTGACCAGAGATTCTTATGATTTTCAAAGAGATTTTTGTCGCATTTATTCACACTGACAGAAAGACTTGACCATGACCCTTTTCTCACTCACGTGATGAAGGTTGACAGGACCTGATCATCTAATGTTTTATGTTTTTTTCCAGACTATTTTCTTCCTGCGTGTAAACCCTGTGATGATTCCGGGGTAGAGTAGCACCTCAGTAAATAACAAGGTTCAAACAGGTTTAAGAGGCCCTTTAATTTTGCGGTCTCTCTTGGAAAGTGCTTGAAATTAGATTCTGCATTGGAAAAAAAAATTGGCCGTGTCATACCAAAAGACTTTAAAAGATGGTACTTGTTGTTACCCTGTCTGGCGCTCGGCATTAAGGGGCTAAAACAAGGACTGGTATGTCAGTGAGCTAGCACTATAAATCGGCATCAGTCCGGACTAGTACAAGCAGCCACACAAACACATACATCTACATACACGTCGCTATGTAAGTGCAATAATCTTGGACGTGACGTTAAACCAAATTTCACCTCACCATATATATATGTATAGTAGTATGTTCCTAGTTGAAAAAAATACTGACAGAGACAAATATGCCTTAACAGTGTGAACCGAGGGGCCCCAAGTTTGTCATGTCATCATATATGCTAATGCAAAGGTGTTGGTAGTTTCATCAAGACATACAATATTAAGAAATCGGCTTGGAGAAAGTTTACTTCATGGCCTTAAATTTGGGGGAAGGAGCATTGAAAGAGGTTGAATCGAGCTTGTATTATGTGAGAAATTCTGGATGAAAATTAGGGGGGCACGGGTGGCCCAGTCGTCTAAGGCGCCGCGATTCCCTGTGCAGGGTTGCGTCCCTTGGGCATGCCAGAAACCTATGATTGTGGGTTCGAATCCCAGTTCGCCCCAATTATGTTTCTAGGTTTGTTAGCACCATACCCGTGCTCATTGGTTTCACCGAAGTGGTAAACGTCCGAGACCTGCATCACTTCGGGCTTTCCTCCTACATTAAGCTGACACGCTGTGATATAACTGGAATACTGTTAAAAGTGGCGTTAAACCTCACTCACTCACTCACTCACTTGTTGAAAATTAAGAGCCTGGTGAGATGGAATACTTAAATGTCGGCGAAGCAGGGAAAGAACATGGACACCATTTCACAAAGCAATTGTACGGCCACGACTGTTGTTAGTCTTACGATAAAGTGTTGGAGTAACAATCATTACAGCACGATTGCTTTGTTGAACAGGAAGCCATGGACCCAGGTTCACAAAGAGACCATAGCACCACAACTGTCGTAACGCCTGCACTTAGGATAGACTTACGATAGTCGTAGCGCTAATGTTTAGGGTATCTTGTTGAATGCCCATTTTTCACTGGAGGTTGCCCGAGGACCCCTGACATGTAGTATTCGTTGATGCATCGCAACCCTGAATCAAGATTAGTAGGAGTAAATTGTCAGCAGGAACACGCACAGAGGAATACACGATACCGTTACCAAATTTTGTGATTCATGAAGATTCCGGGGTAGAATAGGTCTTCAGCAACCCATGCTTGCCGTAAAAGGTGACTATGCTTGTTGTAAAAGGCGACTAACGGGATCGGGTGGTCAGGCTCGCTGACTTGGTTGATGCATGTCATCAATCCCAATTGCGTGGATCGATGCTCATGATATTAATCACTGGATTGCCTGGTCCAGACTCGATTATTTACAGACCGCCGTCATATAGCTGGAATATTGCTGAGTGCGGCGTTAAACAACAAACCAACAAACCAAAACCAACTACAACGATAGTACACTGTGGACACTTTTTACCTTTTAGCTTTACAGATTTTTTCTAATCATTTTTTAGGGTCGGTCATAGTTTTATACATATTCATTTTAAACAAATTGCTTGCCTTTGTTTAAAGTATATTATCCCATTAGCAGCAGAATGGTCCAGCTATAATTTGTTGTTACTGAACTTTGTTACAAAAATGCTTGATAGATGTAGGCATTTTCATGGGAGTGTCTGACTTGAATTTCAAGCCATATTTTTATTTGGTTTATATTTAATGTTTGTTTTCTGTTTTTTAGGTTTTTATAGCTTTTAAAAAATTATAATCATCAGATCAATCAGGTGTTGAAATTAATTTTTGAAATGTCCTTAATATGTTCTCACTGCATTTATTGGCCATGATCAGTGGACAGGTAAAGCGTAAGATTTGAGAATTGTCGTCCAATTTTAATCAGCGGGGTGAGATGTGAATCACAATGGTATGATACTGCTTGCATATGGCAATATTTCTCTCGAAAGAAGCAATTTCACTTGTTGATTATGCAAATGTCTGTCGCATTCGAGCTAATGTAGCCATGTCACCGTTTTGTCCATCAGTCGTTGATAGATTGATCGTTATTTCCTTGAAGCTTGTAATGGCCGTTATGTCCTTGCAGCTTGTAATTTTATGTTATGTCCTTGAAGCTTGTAATGGCTGGTTTGTTACAATATGATGTAAATAAAACAGATTCACACCAATGTTTGTCATTGTGTAATCAAAAGATGAGAATAATAAATGTTGAAATGAAATTGGCATGTGTCTCTCTTTTGGGTGGTCAGGATCCATGATCCTTGTCATGTTTCATTACCCAACATCAAAGGAAGTTGCTCGTTGGTTTGTCTGGTCAAGACTCACACACTCCGGAGACCGTCTCCGTGGTCTAGTGGTAGAGCGTCCGCCCGGAGAGCGGAAGGTCCGGGGTTTGATCCCCGACCACGTCATACCAAAAGACGTTAAAAGATGGTACTTGTTGTTACCCTGCCTGGCGCTCGGCATTAAGGGGCTCGGAGTCAGTGTACTGTGTCTGAGTGGGGTATTCATGTTAAACTGCGGCATGGTATCTCAGTGAGCTAACACTATAAATCGGCATCAGTCCGGACTAGTTCCAGCAGACACACACACACACACACACACACACACACACACACACGTGCATGCACATCGCTATATAAGTGTAATAACCTTGGACGCGACGTTAAACCCCTTTCCACCTCACCTCACCACACAATCCGGCACAGTTGGTGACTTAGCATAACACCACTGCCACAGGCTAATTTGCATATGTATTATGTGACTGGACTTTTCTCTTGTTTGTAAACAAACACGCTTTTTCAGAAATCAGAATAGAAGGGACTAATGGAAGTATTTGGGGGAGCTTTACATATTGTTTTGCATAATTATATAGATATGCTACTACAACTGTGATGGTGTGTTGCATAACAATACATATTTACACATCAAAGTGACCGTATCGCTAGCTCTCCGTACGGCTTCGATGACAGCACGTGGAGCTGTACAACCAATGTAAACATAGGACTACTACGCAAATGGAAATAGTTTTTAATGATTCAGGTTATTTTCTCAATGAAAGTTAACCATTGTATGACATATGTTTATCAAGATGTGTAGACTTGTCAAATATGAAACAGATGAAGAACATAAGCAATATCTCGAATGGACCGTGTAAGATGTGATGAATCGTCACATCGCGCTGGCCTGTGGCAGACGTGCTATCATATTTATTATTACCGTATTCGACGTGATAAGCACCCAGGGGACTATTTTGTGCTGTCAAAAGTCTTACAGTGTGATGTACAGATTATTCTGTCTAATAAAATAGATATCCTACTATATCCCTGATATCCAAAATTTTTGTGACTATAGTTAATCTGCCATCTCAATCAGGTGTTTTTGCTTGTTTGTGTGTTGTTTAGCACCACACTCAGCAATATGACAGCAGTCTGTAAATAATCGAGTCTGAACAAGACAACCCCTTAACCATGAGCATTGATCTGCGTATTTTGGTTTGATGACCCAATCCTATAAGTCGCCCCTTACAGCAAGCATGGTTTGCTGAAGACCAATTCTCTACCCGGATCCTCACGGGTTAGGTGTTTGTTAGTAGTATATAACATATCGATAACCATCCAAAGGGGTTTGATGTCTGTGCATGGAACCATACAATAAATGGACTATGTGAGCAAATACAAACAGTTGCACTACATTAGTGATATATTCTCAATGCAAATCTTACACATGTTCATCAAAATGTGGAATGAATAATTTGTTGAATGGACTGTGTAAATCACGTATTGCTGCAATCGGGAGAAGTATTAATGCGCCAGAATGGGCCGGCTCCGTGTAGGAGAGCATTCCATTCCCGCTACAAGATGAGTAGAGGTGAGGTGAAATGGAGTTTAATGTCGCATCCAAGATTATTGCACTTATATAGCAGCGTGCATGCACGTGTTTGTTTGTGTGTGTGGCTGCTTGTACTAGTCCAGACTAATGCCAATATATAGTACCATCACACTGAGATACCATGCCACAGTGTAACATGAATACCCCACCCAGACACAGTATACCGACTCCGAGCCGACCAGTCCTTGTTTTAGCCCCTGAATGACGAGTGCCAGGCAGGTTAACAACAAGTACCATCTTTTATCATCTTTTGGTATGACAAGGCCGGACCTTCCCCTCTCAGGGCGGACGCTCTACCACTAGACCACGGAAGCGGTTTGTACAAGATGACATCTTCTCACAACTAATCATGATCTTGCAGTGCAGACACGAAGCAGCAAGTAAGGAACAAGACACACAGATCTAGTCTGTATTTATTGTGGGGAAAACACCCATCTATGTACAATAAATAGTTATGTATTATCACAGCTTCAGGAACACCACAGTTCATTTTAGCAAATGAATTGCATACACACTAACAGAAACATATTGTACCCATGTCAGCTGTGACTTCCAGCGACTCAACAGGCTGGTGAATGATTTAATGTTGCCAGGCAACAATGTTCCAGCTACAGCAGGCTGCATGACCACAAACCAGTGGTCAATGACATGAGCAACGATCACACATTGAAACAACCCAATTCTCATTACAATCAACACTTGAAACAAACATGGAGATGTAATGGCGAAATCAATCAAATCAACAGGTTCCACTGATTTCTTTGACTTAAAACATTTTGTTTATAAGATTGAAATATAATTTCTCTATTATTTTCCATAATGACCTACAGTGACATCTGTTTCACTTGTTCACATTCTGTTTGGAATGGCCAGTGTATTCCTGGTTAAGAATTACCTCCAACAACAATAGCATGACATCGGCATCATCGGTAAGCCCTGGTATAGGATTGCCTGCATTGTAATAAATACTGGAGCAAACTTCAAGTCAAAATACACCTGACCAATATAAAAACCGTCATAAAAAACAATTGAAAATAAATTATCGGCATTTAGAAGTAAAGCCTCTTTCTTATGACTATCTCAAGTATACATGTTATATATTTTCAAAGATTTCAATAATTTTTCATTTCTGAGAAATGTCACTCTTCTTATTTTGAGTGTAATGCAAAGTTCAATTTCTTCCCCATTTATCCCCATTGTTTAAACATATCTATAACACAGGTATATGAACTAGCAATGACAGTCAGGGGCTCATGTGAACAAATAACAAAATAAGAACAGAAAATGTATCATCAATGTCAGTGGTGGTTTCCAGGGTGGGTGAATATTTGTGTATAATATGTGTGTTATATGCATCCTTAATTATGGGAAATTAAATTCTGGAAAAATATATCTGACGTATATAAACATTTCAGGCTGTCAGCATAAATCACGAAATTTATGATCTTTCAACTCTGTTGTTTTTCACCAAAATAATATTCTAATAAGAGCCCCCTATTTCTAATTTTGAGAGCGCCCTGGGCGCGTATTATGTCGAATACAGTAATACCTTTCACTTCCCATAATGTACCTGGAATGGTTATTACATAGTAAAACATTTGTTACAGTGCTTGAATATCACAACTTATTCAATGGCAGGGGAATGGAAGAACAAACAACAGAACAATCAAATGGACATCGCTTGAATACTTAAAATACTTACTGGTACAGTATATCACAAGTTCAAAAACAACTCATGTACAAAATATATATGTAATAAATGGACGGTGATGACATTAATGTAAACCCACATATATATCACACTGTGACAGGCAACATTGTGTCGGAATGTTTGGTATCGGGGAAAGGCAAGGGAAAAAATGCTGAGCGTAAACCCACATATATCACAGGCAACATTGTGTCGGAATGTTTGGTATCGGAGAAAGGCAAGAGAAAAAATGCTGATTGGGTCTACAGAATCAGGGCTCCATGCTACAAAACTGTCATAATCTAGCACGGCTGAACATGATTTAACAAACCAACATGCCAACTATCGTGATTGGACCTAGAATGTAGCAGCAAAACTCCATTGAGTAAATGTAGACTTTGGATAGTCGTGGACATAAAACTGGCATTTTACCCCATGATTAAATTTAGATTTGGGTTGTCGTGGAAATTAAAGTGCTGTTAACCCATGACTAAACGTAGACTTCTCATAGCCGCATAAATTAAAGTGCTGTAAACCCATGACTAAACGTAGACTTATCATAGCCGTGTAAATTAAAGTGCTGTAAACCCATGACTAAACGTAGACTTATCACAGCCGTGTAAATTAAAGTGCTGTTAACCCATTACTAAACGTAGACTTCTCATAGCCGTGTAAATTAAAGTGCTGTTAACCCATGACTAAACGTAGACTTCTCATAGCCGTGTAAATTAAAGTGCTGTTAACCCATGACTAAACGTAGACTTCTCATAGCTGTGTAAATTAAAGTGCTGTTAACCCATGACTAAACATAGACTTCTCATAGCTGTGTAAATTAAAGTGCTGTTAACCCATGACTAAACGTAGACTTCTCATAGCTGTGTAAATTAAAGTGCTGTTAACCCATGACTAAACGTAGACTTCTCATAGCTGTGTAAATTAAAGTGCTGTTAACCCATGACTAAACATTGACTTCTCATAGCCGTGTAAATTAAAGTGCTGTAAACCAATGACTAAACGTAGACTTCTCATAGCCGTGTAAATTAAAGTGCTGTAAACCAATGACTAAACGTAGACTTCTCATAGCTGAGCTGTTAACCCATGACCAAAGGTTGATTAAAGAAACGTATAGCTGTAGCACAGAAAGTGTCTTCACTGAGGAAGATAACTGTTGAATGGAGTCCCAAATAGCATGACCAACAATTGTACATCAGCACAAATGTGCACACCACACCACATCAGTGTATGTTTAAACAGGGGCAAATACCTAGCGTACAGAGTGTTAAGCTGGCATCCATCCACTGAAGTGTACAAATCAAATGGAAAACAATAGTACAAATCTACTTGGAAGTGAATCTGACATTCAGTTTGGGTATGAGGATAACTTATGGAAACTGTACATTATATATTAAAACAAATTTAAATACCAGTGTGTGTAAATACTATAAAGGTCCAATTTTGCATCTCACATTTAAAACTGAGGACAGTTTTCTGACCGAAATAATTAAAACATGATCCAGTCCAATAGTCACCTGCCATGAAGACCCAACTCAAAACACAAACATGGCGCACAGCTTAGATGTTCAACCATTTGGTTCAAACCTGAAACTGTAGCGCCAACATTGGCTTAAAACTGATCCTGTATCTCACAGACAAGTACTGAATATCACTGGGCCTCGACAGATGGTAACACGACCACGTGACCTTGTGTTGAAGGGCGGCTGTCGTCTCCGCAATCGGTAGGGTTCCTCATCGGTGGCCCAGGGAGTGGGACGACGTCTTCTGGCATATCCTGGTCATCGGACATCACCTGGTTCTCTGAAGGGGAGAAGAGAAGGTTACAGCACTTCCTCAATAAACTGACAACCTTGACATTAATGTTAAAACTTACAGTCTTTGTTATTGAAATCAGAGGCCTCCTCTGAGCTGAGGCAAAACAAAATAGATAAAAATGTGTTCAAAATTATGTTTTAAAACAATGGGGTCCTTGATGTTGAAGTGTTCAATGGCAGATATAGTCTGGAAGGTAATTTAAGGTACCGACGTTTACTACAATATCTGAAAAACTATTGGACCTACTCCAGTCAAAGTTGGTATGAGATTATTAAACAGTCATACATAACTGGATATTACATTTAAAGACAATTGGTGCATGAATAAAAAATCTATCTATTTAGCTATCACTATATTTCCTCAACAACCAGACCTGTTCGTCACGGGTGGAACATGCATTCATTGAAACGGCCATCTGCATGCGTCATATGACACAAATGAACCAATCAACTCAACTCGAAGGGCTGCACGGGAATCACGCACGCACGAATACGGTGTTAGCGTTAGGCGTCTCAACGTGTGTGATTCCCGTGCACCCTTTCGAGTTGAGTTGATTGGCTAGTGAACAATCCCAATTCCTTCCGATTGATCAATGTACACAAGACTTATTTATTTGTGTATAATACACACTCGTGTGTTACATGCAACCTTAATTATGGGCAATTAAATTCTGGAAAAATATATCTGTCCTGTATAATAGACACAGACTTTTCTTTTGTATCATTTCAGGCCAGCATAAACCATGAAATTTACGATCTTTCACCTCTGGTTATTTTCACCAAAATTTTATTCTAAAAAGAGCCTTCTATTTTTTATTTTGAGAGCGCCCTCGGCGCTTATTACTTTGAATACAGTATAACTTTTAGGGGTATCAGTCAATAATAATAATGAGCATTTTTATTCTGCCAAATCAACACCCTAAAGCGTGCTCAAAGCGCTACATTATTACCCTTGTCAATGGTTCAGTGTGCATTCGATTTTAATTCTCAGCTCCCTAGGGAACATACAACCCAAGCTGCCTGTGAGGCGCTAAAAGGTTAACAGTCACATTACCATCTCTCACTCACACTCCAGAATAAACTGACAACCTTGACATTAACGTTAAAATGTAGTCTTTGTTATTGAAATCAGAGGCCTCCTCTGAGCTAAGGCAAAACAAAATTGATAAAAATGCAAGTCTGACAGTGTTCAAAATTATGTTTTAAAGCCACGGGGTCCTTGATGTTAAAGTGTTCAATGGTAAATATGTAGGGGGTTCTTAGATTCCCAGTAATGCAGCAAACCATAAGGACCCCAGGGCCCCGTTCCACAAAACGATCTTAGCGCTACGACTGTAGTAAGTCAGTGTTAAAGAATGGGAGTTAGGATTGACTTAGCGCTAAGATCACTTTGTGGAACGGGGCCCAGGACCCTTTTCATTTGAACACCGTCTTGTTTATGAGACCAAGACAAAACCAATGTTTCAAGAAGTAATCAAATATTTTCCTGACAGTTAAAGCAAGTAGGTTACTACAGTAAATCAAATACCTGCCGTCTTCACTTAAACGATTGTACATTTTCAATTTGTTGAAAAAAGATTCAGCAAAATGTACTTCCAATTTTTTCATATTTTCATGAAAGTAATTGTTTTCACATGTACTTTACTCCAGCATGCACAGTTAATCATGCAATGTTAATGTAAAATGGGCCGGTGACTGCTGGGTGAACAGAGGAATATTTCTAACAAAGTCAGTTGTCTAAGGAGACACCACACGTAGCAGGTGCTTCAGTGTTGAGCAGGACCCAAGCCCTAGAAACACTCAGCAAAATAACAGAACAGACATATCTCCAAACACTCATTCAGTCCAAATTGAACACATGATGTTAGAATACAAACCGTCTACAGAGAACATGGCTGTGCCCCTGCCGCTGGGGGCGGACACAGTGTAGGAGATGTAGTCCTTGTCGCCACCACGCTGAGACTTGCCACTGCGCGGGATATCAGGCTGCAGGGGAGAAAAACATCTTTCTTTTGATTATTTTAATAACCATTACAGGTACAATATGGGAAGTGAAAGGTATTACCTTATTCGACATAATACGCGCCCAGGGCGCTCTCAAAATTAGAAATAGGGGGCTCTTATTAGAATATTATTTTGGTGAAAACAACAGAGTTGAAAGATCCTAAATTTCATGATTTATGCTGACAGCCTGAAATGTTTATATATGACAGATATATTTTTTCCAGAATTTAATTTCCCATAAATAAGGATGCATATAACACACATATTATACACGAATAAAAAAGACTTGTGTACATTGATCAATCGGATGGGGTGATAATTGGGATTGTTCACTAGCCAATATATTAGCAAATATCGCCATGGGTGCTCATTAGAGCAGGGCGCTTATTACGTCGAATACGGTAACTGCAGCTTATTGTGACAGATTATTCAAAACGTAAATTTACTGCAGGCCATACAGGCTGTAGACAGTTTCACCTTGGGGAAACACAAGCACAATCAGGTTGGAATCTGGTTTTAAATTTGCAGTATAATTTTGTCATTTCTGCATAATGCCTCCATCTGAGCTGACTTTACTCAAAAAAGTTTATTCCTTTAGCTGGTGAAGCAGCTCCAGCCCCGCAAGGGAGTCCACTGTACTCCACGAGCTGCTACACAAGACGCGAGTCTCACTCACCAGTGGGTGTTTCCTGGAGCTGACTGGAGTCTTTGTGGGCACGATTCCTACTGGAGTGTCCACCTGGAAATACATATACAGCAAGTGAGGCCATGGCACTGGATTGGCTAACCAAGCAAATCCTTTTGGCTTTTATGAAATAGGCCACGCCCACAAGCAAATACTACTCCCTGATTGGATGATAATAGGGAGGGTGCTGAACCAGGTCACTGGTTTTGCATTGGTGTCTACATATTTATTTTTTTTATGATTAATAAAGAAGTCTGCAATTTTATCATTGTCAATTTATTTATTTATAAAATTGACTTTATTAAATGTTTTGGCATTTATGGAGGTATAAACGTAAAAAAACTATGTGCACTTTAGCGGAAATACTTTGAGGGCAGGATTCTTACAGGGATGTACAGCTGGCACACGTAATCTCATTAAAATCAGACCTTAGTTCTCGCTACCGCTTAACAAAGATCTGAAGACATCCCATTAGGGGTCACGTCAGAACGACCTTTCATCTGACCAATCAGAGCGTCGCTTACCAAATTATGAAAGTGACAGTCGAAATGTGATTTCTAATCATGCAACCTCGAAAACTTTAACATGGGGTATTCCGAATAATAGTTACGGGTTTAACGACTGAATCCATACAATCTAGACCATCTATTAGCCATTCCAGTATGTTTTTTTGTTCAGGTTTCAAATTTTAGACTGAGAATTTGTCAAAATATGTTTCGAGGCGTAGTTTCCAATTTGAAATAAGTGCCGTAAAGCACGAGAAAGCTGCCTTCTGATTGGTCATTCCATGGTTCGGTCAAAGTTCGCACAAGGTCGGTCTGACTTGCCCCGTAATGGGATGTCCTCAGATCTTTGTTTAGCGGTAGCGAGAACTAAAATCTGATTTTAATGAGATTGCTGGCACACTATAACGTATACTCACGGAGTAGCTGACGGAGGCCTGATGGAGGGTTGCAGCCTGCCTCTGCATCGTGTGGCGCAGGTAACTCTCATCCTTGAGGGCGTGTAAGCTGAAGGAGACACCAGGAGCATGAGTGAGAGTACATCCTTCTTTCAGCGTAAAATGTGAACTTCAGGACAACCGAACAAAACTTGCAGTGTGTTACAGTCTGCATTACTGCATTTGGATTTTTAAAATTGTTCCTGTTAATGTTTCTAATCCAAAAATGATGTGGGCTCTTTACAACACCGCCATTGGGCCTGTCACTCTCTGTCTAAGTTATCTGTGCAGAGTTGCACCCTTTGGGCACACCAGAAACTTATAATAGTGGGTTCAAATCCCAGTTCGACCTGATCAGGTTTCTAGGTTTATCAGCACCATACCCATGCTCGTGGGTTTCACCGAAGTGGTAAACATTTGAGACCTGCATCACTTTGGCTCTCCTACCACATTAAGCTGACACTCCATGATATAATGGGAATACTGTTAAAAGTGGCGTTAAACCCAACTCACTCACTCACTCTGTAAAAGGGACCGGTCATTTATTACAGAGGTGAATCAGGGATTCTATATGAACTTATGTACTAAAAATAATTGCCCTTCCTAGATGCTTTTCATATTTTTGGAACACCCTCCCAGGTCTTTGTACATTTTCACGACTTTCCCCAAATATGGGGATTATTTTTTAAGACCCTCCCCCAAGAGACTGTCATAATTCTGGATGACCCTCCTGTGGTAACCCCAGACTACATACAATCATTTAATAAACAAGACAACCCGGTATTAGAGGGATAGTCAAGATGTACATGTATTTACTCTTCTTGAGTGTTTACATTCATGGCGGAAACAGCCGTCGCGAGGGTTCCCAGAATTCCCTGCTAAGGGAGCAGTTATTATGCTTAAGTGGAAATCACGGGGAGTGGCTTATTGTTTAAACTGTTACTCTATGACACTCCTCCCCCATAGTTTTGTTGCACTTTAAACATAACTACCATAATGAATCTACACATGTTGAAAGAACTGACAATTGCTCCAGAAGATGTAAAGTGTCTCTTCACACATCTCATTGGAACATTTTAAATGAAATTTAACCAAAATTGTTCCAGATGTTATTTAGAGTCTCTCATGTCACACAATAACTGGAACACTTTAACTGAATATGCACTTGCATTAATGATTAAAGATAACTGGATATGCATCTGCTTATGTCTGAATAAGGGAACCAATAACAAGATCCAAAACTATCAATCACTGATGGTTCACTTAGGTGACAAATAGTGTGAAATACATCACATTCTCATTACAGTTCATAACTCAGCAGCAATCTTTAGATTAAGTCTATCCAGCGCTTTCCGGATTCTGGAAGAACGACGAAATTCTTGCGCACCACAAGAATCTGACTGAGTAGGAGATAGTGCCTCTGGTAAGACCTGCTGTGGCTCGGGCCTTGTAGAAGTAACTTCATCTTGCAAGTGAGGGGTACCCGGAAGTACTGGAATGTTGCCAGGTTCAGGCAACATAGGTAACTTGTCGGGTAGTTCTGGTAGAACTGATTGTTCATGTGTTGATGGAACTGATTTATCATGTTGGCTTTCATGCTTCAGAACATGGCGCAAACGCAGGTGATCAATATGGCGCTTGACAACACCACCATTGTCAAGACGAACATGGAACGACACTGGACCGGTTCTCTCTGTTATGATTCCTGACAACCATTTGTCACCAGGACGAAAGTTTAAAACATACATAAGATCTCCAACTTGCAAGTGACGGTCCTTTGCATGTGCATCATGTACTGACTTTTGCTGTTCTTGTTTGTTCCTAACTTTACAGCTCATATCTGGATGAAGAAGATTGAGATGAGACTTTGGTCTTCTTCGAAGAAGTAATTCTGCTGGAGATAACCCCGTTGTAGTCTGCGGGGTAAGTCTGTATCTGAACAAAAACCGTGCAAGTTTTGTGTCCAATGTGCCCCCTGTCATACGTTTAATGCCAGATTTAAAGGTTTGTACAGCTCGTTCTGCTAACCCATTAGAGGCAGGGTGATACGGTGCCACACATGTATGAGTGATGCCATTACGTTTCATAAAGACAGAGAATTCCTCACTTGTAAAACAAGTGCCATTGTCAGTGACCACTTGGTCTGGCAGTCCATGAGTTGCAAACATATGTCTGAGACAATCAATTGTAGCAGTGGATGTGGCACTGTTCACTGGAAACACTTCCAACCATTTAGAATGTGCGTCAATACACACAAGGAACATTTTACCCAGGAAAGGTCCGGCATAGTCTAAATGCAAACGACTCCATGGATGTTCAGGCCATTCCCAAAAGTGAAGCGAAGCCTCGGCTTGTACTGGACGAGACTGTTGACACACAGAACAGGTTTTCACCTTGAGTTCCAATTCATCATCCATCTTTGGCCACCATACGAATCCACGCGCTACAGACTTCATGCGCGAGATACCTGGATGAGCTTCATGCAACATGTTCACAACAATCTCTCGACCTTGTGGCGGCACAACAATACGATTGCCCCACAAAACACAGCCATCAAGGACACTCAATTCATGTTTCCTTTTCACAAAAGGAGTGAAAGACTCCTCTAGATTTATGCTTGGCCATCCAGAAAGAAGGAAATTTCTTACTCTGGAAAGGGTTGGATCTCTGTCCGTCCATTGTTTAATTTGCCATGATTTCACAGGAGAAGCATCCATTGCTTCCAGTAAGAGGATTGTGTCCCCTGGTAGAGGTGGATTTGGTGGTGTGTATGGTAAGGGAAGACGACTCATGCAGTCGGCATTCGCAAGGGAAGTACCTTTTCTGTACTCGATTGTATAGTTATATGCAGAGAGGGTTAATGCCCAACGTTGAATTCTGCTCGATGCCATCTGTGAAATGCCCTTGTCCCGACTGAAGATGCTCTCGAGGGGTTTGTGATCTGACAACAGAGTAAAGGAACGCCCGTAGATATACTGATGGAACTTCTTAGTTCCGAAGATAATTGCTAGAGCTTCACGATCCAATTGAGAGTAATTCTTTTCTGCTTGCAACAGAGACCTGGATGCGAATGCTATTGGTTTCTCTACACCATCATCAGACTGATGTGAGAGGACGGCACCTACCCCATAGGGAGATGCATCACACGCCAATACAAGTTTCTTATGGGGATCATAATGCGTCAAGAGATCACAGGAAGACAAATGTCCTTTCACCATGTTGAAAGCTTTTTTCTGTTGAGCTCCCCATGACCAGGTAACTTCTTTCCTGAGAAGCCGATGCAAGGGTGCCAAGGTAGTGGCGAGATTAGGCAAGAAAAGCTGATAATACTGCACGAGTCCAAGGAAGGATTTAAGTTCAGCAACATTGCGTGGAGCTGGAGCCGACACTATAGCCTTCACCTTTTCATCAAGGGGATGCAAACCCTGCGCATCTATTTTGTGACCCAAATACTCTACTGAGCCGACCATGAATTTGCACTTCTGTGCGTTCAATCTGAGACCAGCCTTGCTAAGTCTGGATAGGACTTCCTTCATGTTTTCCAAATGTTCCTGTTCAGAGGCCCCGGTGACGAGAATATCATCCAAGTAGACACAGACATGGGGAATGTCTTTGAGCAAGCACTCCATAGTTCGCTGGAATACAGCTGGAGCTGCCGATATGCCAAAGGGTAAGCGCTGGTACTGATAGAGGCCACGATGAGTGTTTATAGTCGTGAGCTTTTGCGACTCCTCGTCAAGGGTTAACTGTTGGTAGGCTTGACTTAAATCCAGTTTCGTGAAAGTCTTTCCACCTGACAAAGATGCGAACAGATCTTCGATCCGTGGAATGGGGTAAACATTAGTACGAGCGACCTTGTTGACAGTTAATTTGTAGTCTCCGCAAATTCGTATGTTCCCATTGGATTTAACCACTGGTACGATTGGAGCAGCCCAATCAGAATACTGCACTGGCTTGATAATACCCTGTTTTTCAAGGCGTTCAAGTTCATCGTCAACTTTCTGACGAAGAGCATAAGCAACATTCCTGTGCTTATAAAATCTTGGCACATTTGAGGTGATCTCAATAGTGACCTTTTGATCCTTGAATTCCCCTATATCATCTTGGAACACATCAGAATAAGAGTTCAAAATGTCTTGTAACCCTTCATTTCTCACATTCAAAATTTTCCCCCAATCTAATCTGATGGCCTGAAGCCAATCTCTGCCAAGCAAGTTCTCGCCATCACCTTCCACCACTGTCAGCGGGAGAGTAGCGGACTGATTTCCATAATTTACTTGAACGTCTGTAGTGCCTACTATCGGTATTCTCTCTCTGTTGTAGGACCGAAGAATAGCATTGGTCTCACTTAACTTGGGCCTGTCATCACCCTCCTTCCACACTGAATGGAAAGTACTTGAACTGATCACGGAAGTTGCTGCGCCAGTGTCTATCTCCATAGTTAGCTTTTTACCATTAACTAACACTTCAATGAGATAGGGCTCCACTCTGTGTCCCTTACCACTCAATCCGTTTTGAGCATGTTGAGTTTCTACCTTAAAAAGTCCATATTCATTGTTCTCGTCTTCCTGAGATACATCGTCAATACGATTAGCATGATTAGTGGAAGATCTGTTGTCCTTGTAATGGGTACCACGACCATGACCACGGCCCCTGTCGCGACCACGACCACGGCTGTGACCACGACCTGAAGATCTATCATTCATGGCGCTTCGAGAGCGACAAGCACGCTGGATATGACCAACCTTATTACAATTGTTACACACAGCATTTTTGTAATAGCACTGACTACTGACATGATTTGAGCCCCCACAGCGATCACACTTCCTGCCTGCATTATTTCTCCTGTTATCCTCTCTAATCTTGTGCACTGGCCTTGGCATCTGATCTCCCCCTTTAATATCACGCACTTCCTTAGCAGCCATTTCCATTCCTAAACACAAGGAGTAAGCCTTAGCAAAGTCCAATGTTTTCTCAGTTAACAGTCTTTTTTGCATTGCTTCATTGTTGATACCACACACTAGACGATCCCTTAACTGAGTCTCTAAATCAGTGTATTCACATGTCGATGCCAAACGACGTAGCTCAGCCACATATTCCGATACAGTTTCATTAGGCTGTCTATCACGCATATTGTACCTTCTCCTTTCCATCATAATAGTGGGTTTCGGGTGTAAATGTGACTTCATCAGGTGTACTAACGCATCATAAGAATGATCGCCAGGTTTCTGTGGCGTAGACAAGTTCCGTATTAACTTGTATGACTTCGCACCAATCACACTCAATAGAATAGCACGCTTCCTACCCTGATCTGTAATTTCGTTTGCTTCGAAATAATGTCCAAGTCTCTCGACATATTCATTCCAGTCATCAGTCTGAGAATCATATTCATCTATTCTGCCGAAGGTAGCCATGTTGTTTTGAATACCGGGCGAACGCACGTTGTCCCATCCTCGTCGCCAATATATGTGGTAACCCCAGACTACATACAATCATTTAATAAACAAGACAACCCGGTATTAGAGGGATAGTCAAGATGTACATGTATTTACTCTTCTTGAGTGTTTACATTCATGGCGGAAACAGCCGTCGCGAGGGTTCCCAGAATTCCCTGCTAAGGGAGCAGTTATTATGCTTAAGTGGAAATCACGGGGAGTGGCTTATTGTTTAAACTGTTACTCTATGACACCTCCCTTGATTCCCTGTGACCTACCCCACCCTATAATAATGACCGGTCCCCAAGTAGTGAGCTCTGCAGCACACAGACAAGAAGAGATGCATACAACACTACACACTCACCTCTGTTGTAAGATGGCAAACTTCTTCTCCCATGTTCTGTGAATGCGTTCTATCTCTTTCTTCAGCCTGAAACAACACGTACAAACATGGCATGGCTATCAATGAAATTATTTTCACTACACTACTCAAAAGAAGTTAAAGAACACCTGATTCTTTCATGTTATAGTTAATCTGGGAGCTCAAGATAAGCGGCGTATTAGCGTAAAATATGCATTAAATAAACTGAAATATGCAAATATACCTCAGTACTGATTGGTGTGTGAGGTACTGACCTAAGTACTGATTGGTTCATGTCCTACTGACCTCAGTACTGATTGGTTCATGTCCTACTGACCTCAGTACTGATTGGTTCATGTCCTAAAGACCTCAGTACTGATTGGTTCATGTCCTACTGACCTCAGTACTTCGTCTCGCATCCTCTGTTCACTCTTCTTCAGCTTTTCCGTGTCCGCCGACTCCTGGATGGCGTTGGCGTTCTTGGCCTTCTCCTGCGACACACACAGCACCATCACAGTCAGTGGTTTGCCTTTTGGTTTTTTAACGCTTCACTTAGAAGTGAGGTGAGGTGAGGTGAAATTGGGTTTAACGTCGCATCCAAGATTATTGCACTTATATAGCGACGTGCATGCACGTGTGTGTGTGTGTGGCTGCTTGTACTAGACCGGACTGATGCCGATTTATAGTGCTAGCCCACTGAGATACCATGCCACAGTTTAACATGAATACCCCACTCAGACACAGAATACTGACTCTGAGCCAACCAGTCCTTGCTTTAACCCCTTAATGCCGAGTGCCAGACAGGGTAACAACACGTACCATCTTTTAACGTCTTTTGGTATGACGCGGCCGGGTGTCAAACCCCAGACCTTCCGCTCTCCGGGCGGACGCTCTACCACTAGACCACGGAGGCGGTCTCACTTAGAAGTATTCAAGCTACATAATAGTGGCAAGTCTGCACCAGACAAACAAGTGGTTCATGGACAATCCACGCCAGTGTGAGAAATAGCTGCCTGCCCGCTAGTCTGTGGCAAGCAGAATTTCGAATGGGCTAAAGGTTCTGAAATGTCCCTAACCTGACTGGCTACTGACTTTTTAACAGTGTTTTTTTATGGACACCTCTTAGTTGATAAAAAAAAGTAATTTCAATTTTCTGTAGATCAATATGACCATCAATAATCAAATCAATATCCGAAATGAATTGAGGTTGCGAGATCAGATTTAACCCTTCATAATATTAAACCCATGATTTGCAATTTGGGCTTACTTTACAGATAACTTCGCAGAATGTCTTGAAAAATATAAACTGTTGTTAGCGTCAGCTGGTGGAATAAGAACCTAGGCCCACTTGCACAAAGTGAGGTTAGCACTAAGATGATCGTAACTCCCATACTTTAACATAGGCTTACAATAGTTGTAGCGCTCAGATCGCTTTGTGCAAGTGGGCCCTGGCTAGTAACTCTTATGGCTAGCTAGCCCACCTGGCAAGTTTAATTGTGAGACTATTTCACACACTGATCCACGCCACCCAGGTATGAGGACACGCAATCTACCACCCAATCCATTTAGTCACCTCTGACGAACACAGGTTGCAGTAGACCAATTCTAATCCAGAATCCCCACTAGGTTTAATCCCAATTAGTCCACTACACTGAACAGCCATCAGTGAAAAACTGTGGATACAATATCTTCAGGAAATAGGTGTAGAGCTGATATTAAAAATTATATCCCAACTGCAAACCTGGACCCACTAAAAATATATATAAGTTCATTTGTCTGTCGTTTAACACCACACACAGCAGCAAAATGACAGTGGCCTGTAAATAATCAAATCTGGACCAGAAAATCCAGTGACTGATATTGTGAGCTGCTATCCACGTCATCAGGGCAGATGACACGCTGACAACCAAGCCACTGATCCATGTAGTCGCCTCTTACGGCCAGCATAGGCTTCGGAGGAATCCATGGGGTAATTATATTGGACCTCCAACTACTGCAAGTCTATGTTAAAGTACTATTAATCGGGAAAGTTTGGCACCATGAACTTACTGCGAGTGGCAAACAACAGACTTCATTGTGTCTGGAAAGTTTTTCAGTACACTATTAAGATTACCAAATAGCAAAGCTACTTTTGCAGGTGTTAAATTTCATAAGTAGGTAGCGGCATGATAAAATGGTAACTCAGTGTCAGTCAGTGATTTTTAAACTATAGATGCATGTGTAGGTTGGAAGTTGGAAGTTGGAGGTTGGAGCAGCTGACTGGACTACTGATGTAACTGAAAAACTTGACGAGATGTGGCAGTTTCGTGAAATTAGACAAATTAGACTGTTGACCCTAAGTGACAATGTGTAATTAGCCAAACACAGGATGTGAGGGAATATTTGTTTACCGTATTTTCTTGAGTATAGTGCGCACCCATGTATAATGCGCACCCCCCTCTAGCGGGTTCAATATTTTGGAAAAAAAAGAAATTTGAATATTATGCGCAGAAAATTTTTACACCGTACCCTTTCAGCGAAGTCCGGCAAACGAACGGGGGCTGAGAAACTTCGTCAGTACAAATTCGAAATTTGAGATAAAAAATCACCAGACATGTTTATTTACCGTTTAAATAGTATTTATTGTTCTGCTAGGCATTGTTTTATATTTAGGGATTAAGATTACCTTGCGTATTTTCTCGTAAACTAAGCTGGAAACAGCAATCAGCTGTACACACGTTTTCTTGGAATCGACCGGTTATTCGGTCAAGACACACCCAATGATATAACTTTATAAGATTTTTAATGCAAGGATCGGCAACAATTGTATCTGAAACTATTTTATTTATCAGGAATAATATATTCCATTATTTTCTTAATTATATGCAACCATTACTAAACATATTTAAAATAATAATAACCCTAAGCGAAGCAGCTGATCGCTATTCCCGGGTATTATTTTTTACATGGAACATGTCTGACCAGTCACCGTCAAGGCTCACGCGCACGTGATCACGTGATCGTGAGAATTTCATGTTGACATAGAATCGTCAAACAAAAACAAATATGACTTTTAACGAGTCAAAGTATGTCATTTATGATATATGTATCCATTCTCTGTCAACTAAAGTTTGTTTCAAGGCGTCAATAGCGGTATTCTGACCGTGGTTGCTGTTAATAACGGTGAGTTGTGCGATCTTCTGACAGGGGGGGGGCAAATATTTGTACAAGTATCACTTGTCCCCAACTTGATTCAAATAAAACTGTTTTCTATAAAAAAAAATCTAGGGGGGGGCAACTACCCTCCCTGCCCCCCCGGCTGGCTACAGCACTGCAGGAAATACATGCCGACAGTCTCCTCTCTAGTTATGCATTGGTCACAGTAACCATCCTTATTAATCCTTAGCTGAATATCCACAGAAGGGACAATGCAGGTGTACCTACATACACAGATTGTCGCAGCTCCAATCCAATATTTGCCTTGCAGTCTCTCTAAATCTAACTACACTGGTCAACAGAAACACAGTTACCCTTCACCCTTAGATTGATATACCCGCTCGGGGGATGAGAGTTATCACACAAGCATTATAGACAATACACATTTTTCATTGGTAAACAGAACTGTGGTTCTCAGACAGACTTGTATTGTAAAGGCCCCAAGACCACCAACATCTATGTGGGATATTAGTTTCAACACTAATGTGACCCTGGACTTGTCTGAATGTCAAGGTCAATGTAGTGACTTTCCTGAATACAAGACATGGCTGGGTCCACATGTGCAGCTTTCAAACATGAAATGAAAGATGCCACGTTGTCAGACGTCCATGATACATACCCGCTCAAGCATTTCCTCCAGCATCTTCTTCTGGTCTGTGAGCAGCTTGATCTTTTCCTTGTCTGCTTCCAGCGATCCTGGTTTCACCTTCCTTGCCTCTCTAAGAGCCTGGCAACACACAAGGTACTAAACTGCTGTTTCTGTGGCAACACACATGGTAATTAACTGCTGTTTCTGTAGCAAAATAAACTACATTCTCAAACTTCTTGTTTTTGTGCCAACATAAGCTACTTTCTCAACAACTTCTGTTTCTGTGGGAACACAAACTACTTTCTCAACAACTTCTGTTTCTGTGGGAACACAAACTACTTTCTCTACAACTTCTGTTTCTATGGCAACACAAACTACTTTCTCTACAACTTCTGTTTCTGTGGCAACACAAACTACTTTCTCTACAACTTCTGTTTCTATGGCAACACAAACTACTTTCTCTACAACTTCTGTTTCTGTGGCAACACAAACTACTTTCTCTACAACTTCTGTTTCTATGGCAACACAAACTACTTTCTCAACAACTTCTGTTTCTGTGGGAACACAAACTACTATCTCTACAACTGCTGTTTCTGAACATTTAGTGCATTCTTAACATTCTTAACAGAATAGAAAAGTCAATAACGTGAAAAACCAAATCTACAATTTTGATGAATGTCATGATTCAAACAGACATGCAGCGAAAAGACTCACAATGTAAATTATTTGCACCTATGCTTCATTAACATGCATATATAATGTAATAATATATTATCATTACATGTATTTGAAGCTTGGAGTAATAAGTGGGGTAAAAAAGCGTAATTTCATGTAAATTGCTTGAAGTCACTGGCGCATTAACAATTTGCTGTCCATGATATTTCATGCATGTGATTAATTTGTGACTTTTTTGCAAAAATCCTAATTTTGGGTGAGAACAACCAAAATAGCATATTTTTAGACTTAAAATTGTAACTATTGTGCCAAAAAATGGTAATGGCAGGCACCTGCGTATATGGCGACCTGTAAAAGCAGGGCTATGAAATCTCACCTCCTCTTTGGCCAGCCTGAGCTGCTCTTCCATCATCCTCTGCATGTCCTGCTTCTGCTTGTCCAGCTGCACAGAAAACATACACTCAGGCACAGGCTCCCCAACAGTGCTGGAGCCAGTCACACAGGTTCCCCAACAGTGTGGAGCCAGTCACACAGGTTCCCCAACAGTGCTGGAGCCAGTCACACAGGCTCCCCAACAATGTAGGCAGTCACACAGGCTCCCCAACAGTGATAGATCCAGTCACACAGGCTACCCAACAGTGTGGAGCCAGTCACACAGGCTACCCAACAGTGTGGAGCCAGTCACACAGGCTCCCCAATAGTGATGGAGCCAGTCACACAGGCTCCCTAACAGTGATAGATCCAGTCACACAGGCTCCCCAACAGTGATAGATCCAGTCAAACAGGTTCCCCACAGTGTGGAGCCAGTCACACAGGTTCCCCAACAGTGATAGATCCAGTCACACAGGTTCCCCAACAGTGATAGATCCAATCACACAGGTTCCCCAACAGTGTGGAGCCAGTCACACAGGTTCCCCAACAGTGATAGATCCAGTCACACAGGTTCCCCAACAGTGATAGATCCAGTCACACAGGCTCCCCAACAGTGATAGATCCAATCACACAGGTTCCCCAACAGTGTGGAGCCAGTCACACAGGTTCCCCAACAGTGATAGATCCAGTCACACAGGTTCCCCACAGTGTGGAGCCAGTCACACAGGTTCCCCAACAATGTGAAGCCAGTCAAACAGGCTCCCCAACAGTGATAGATCCAGTCACACAGGTTCCCCAACAGTGATGGAGCCAGTCACACAGGTTCCCCAACAGTGATAGATCCAGTCACACAGGTTCCCCACAGTGTGGAGCCAGTCACACAGGCTCCCCAACAGTGATGGAGCCAGTCACACAGGCTCCCCAACAGTGTGGAGCCAGTCACACAGGCTCCCCAACAGTGATAGATCCAGTCACACAGGTTCCCAAACAGTGATAGATCCAGTCACACAGGTTCCCCAACAGTGTGGAGCCAGTCACACAGGTTCCCCAACAATGTGAAGCCAGTCACACAGGCTCCCAAACAGTGATAGATCCAGTCACACAGGTTCCCCAACAGTGTGGAGCCAGTCACACAGGTTCCCCAACAGTGATAGATCCAGTCACACAGGTTCCCCAACAGTGTGGAGCCAGTCACACAGGTTCCCCAACAGTGATAGATCCAGTCACACAGGTTCCCCAACAGTGTGGAGCCAGTCACACAGGTTCCCCAACAGTGATAGATCCAGTCACACAGGCTCCCCAACAGTGTGGAGCCAGTCACACAGGTTCCCCAACAGTGTGGAGCCAGTCACACAGGTTCCCCAACAGTGTGGAGCCAGTCACACAGGTTCCCCAACAGTGATAGATCCAGTCACACAGGTTCCCCAACAGTGATAGATCCAGTCACACAGGCTCCCCAACAGTGATAGATCCAGTCACACAGGCTCCCCAACAGTGATAGATCCAGTCACACAGGTTCCCCAACAATGTGGAGCCAGTCACACAGGTTCCCCAACAGTGTGGAGCCAGTCAAACAGGCTCCCAAACAGTGATGGAGCCAGTCACAGACTAATGAACAGTGTTGGAGCCAGTCACACAGGTTCCCCAACAGTGTGGAGCCAGTCACACAGGCTCCCCAACAATGTGGAGCCAGTCACACAGGCTCCCCAACAGTGTGGAGCCAGTCACACAGGTTCCCCAACAGTGATAGATCCAGTCACACAGGCTCCCCAACAGTGCTAGATCCAGTCACACAGGTTCCCCAACAATGTGGAGCCAGTCACACAGGCTCCCCAACAGTGATAGAGCCAGTCACACAGGCTCCCCAACAGTGATAGATCCAGTCACACAGGCTCCCCAACAGTGATAGATCCAGTCACACAGGCTCCCCAACAGTGATAGAGCCAGTCACACAGGTTCCCCAACAGTGATAGATCCAGTCACACAGGCTCCCCAACAGTGCTAGATCCAGTCACACAGGTTCCCCAACAGTTTGGAGCCAGTCACAGACTAATGAACAGTGATAGAGCCAGTCACACAGGCTCCCCAACAGTGATAGATCCAGTCACACAGGTTCTCCAACAGTGATAGATCCAGTCACACAGGTTCCCCAACAGTGTGGAGCCAGTCACACAGGTTCCCCAACAGTGATAGATCCAGTCACACAGGCTCCCCAACAGTGATAGATCCAGTCACACAGGTTCCCCAACAGTTTGGAGCCAGTCACAGACTAATGAACAGTGATAGAGCCAGTCACACAGGCTCCCCAACAGTGATAGATCCAGTCACACAGGTTCTCCAACAGTGATAGATCCAGTCACACAGGTTCCCCAACAGTGTGGAGCCAGTCACACAGGTTCCCCAACAGTGATAGAGCCAGTCACACAGGCTCCCCAACAGTGATAGATCCAGTCACACAGGTTCCCCAACAGTGATAGATCCAGTCACACAGGCTCCCCAACAGTGATAGATCCAGTCACACAGGCTCCCCAACAGTGATAGATCCAGTCACACAGGCAAAGTAACAGTGCTGTTACATACATTTATCAGTCAATGTATCAATCTGGTTACTATCTCGTCTAAAATGAATAGATCCAAAGAAATTAGAAATATGTTATTTTCTTGTAATGTAATTTAAAACACAAATGTTGATTGCAACAGTTGTAATCCACTTCAATCTCATTGAAATCAGTTCTTAGTGCTCGCTACACCTACATGAAGATCTGTGAACTTCCCATGACAGGTCACATCAGAACAACGTTTTGAGAACTTTGACCCACCAATGAAATGACTCACAAGAAGTCGACATTAGCTAATCAGAAAGCAGCTTTCTTGAGTTCTACCACACTAGTTTCAATCCAGTGGCTTCCATTCCAGACAGCGCTTTGAAAAATATGGATTCAAAATAACAAAAGTTAATTCTGTCCAAAAGATGGCTGAGGTTGCATTCCAGTACTCCGCCTGCACTACGGGAAGTCTCTTCCGTTTCAAATGTTTATTCCATTGAAGTGAATTGAAGACATACAGCTCATGACTGTCGTTCGGAATACCTCATGTTAACCTTTCCGAGATTGTATGATTAGAAAACACATTCCGACTGCCACTTCCTTGATATGGTAAGCAACACTCTGATTGGTCAGATGAAAGGTCGTTCTGATGTGCCCCGTAATGGGATGTCCTCAGATGATAGTTTAGTGCTAGAGAGAACTAAGATCTGATTGGAATTAGATTGAAGATTGGTATTCTTTGATTCAATGTTATTAAATCTGGTACTCAAATCTCGATCAATCTCTATTATGAGGACAGCAAACAAGATATTACATAGGTCGTTATACTGATCGTATTCTGTGACACACAAAAACACACCAAAACCAAAAGCTGTCGATGTGACACAGAGGCAGTGTTAATGAGATACCACGCCCTTGCCATGCAAGCAGGATCACCACTCCATATATACATGATAAAGTGTTAGTGAGTGAGTGAGTATGGTTTTACGCCGCTTTTAGCAATATTCCAGCAATATCAGGGCGTATTGGGACAATTGGGTATTGTCGTCACAACCCCGGGGGATTCCTAAGTTAGAATTGGTCCCCAGCAACCTGTGATGGTCGTACAGGGAGACAATGATCTGGGTGGTCAGTGGGTGGTCAGACTCGGGGATTTGGTTGATGGTGTGTCATCGTACCCCGATGGCATGGTAACAGTATCAGTCACTGGATTGTCTGGTCCAGGCTTAATTATTTATAGGCCGAAGTGCTGCGTTAAACAAAACACATACACATTATCATGACAAACGTTTGTGCTTTTTTGTTACTTTACACCACAGTCAGCAATATTCCAGCTGTAGTGACCTGTGAAGATTCCGGAGTAGAATAGGTCTTCAGCAACCCAGGTGACTATGCTTGTCGTAAAAGGCGACTAACGGGATCGGGTGGTCAGGCTTGCTGACTTGGTTGATGCATGTCATTGATCCCAATTGCGTGGGTCGATGCTCATGATATTAATCACTGGATTGTCTGGTCCAGACTTGATTATTTACAGACCGCTGTCATATAGCTGGAGTGCGGCGTTAAACAACAAACCAACCAACCAATCCAGCTGTAGCATGGCAGCCTGTAAATAATCGAGTCTGGACCAGACAAACCAGTGAATGTTGAACATGAACCCATGCCGTCATGGTATGATGACGTCCACGAGGTCCACCATGTCACCTGACTAACTGATCCCATAAGTCACCTCTCACAACAGGCAAAGGTTGCCGAGGACTAATCCTAACCTGGAATACCCACTGTGTTATAGTGAGTGAGTGAGTTTGGTTTTACGCCGCTTTTAGCAATATTCCAGCAATATCACGGCGGGGGACACCAGAAATGGGCTTCACACAATGTACCCATGTGGGAATCGAACCCGGGTCTTGGGCGTGATGAGCGAACGCTTTAACCACTAGGCTACCTGACCGCCCCCACAGTGTTATAACAGAGCGTCATACAGTGCTTGTGATAACTTATTCAAGAACTCAATCATCAGCCACTGTGACAAACAGATCTTCATTTCAGTCGTCCTTACGACAAACTCTGAGCAAAAGGGGCCGGAATGATCAAGAAAGAAAATATTACATTACCCTCTCATTAATCATGAATCATTAAATGAGGTTGAATGAAAGTGTTTTGTACATTTTGTTATATGAGAATGCACACAAAAGCATTTTTTCCATGCAATGTCATTCCATGCAGAAGCAAGATCTATTGTTTCCAGGATACAGACCCAGTGTGGAGGGTGATACGGAGAATAGTGACACACTGACTCAGTGCAGTCTACTGACAGTCAGTCATGGTCAGACACACAGATTGACAGACAGTCATGGTCAGACTCACAGATTGACAGTAGTCATAGTCAGACACACAGATTGACAGTAGTCATAGTCAGACACACAGATTGATAGACAGTCATGGTCAGACTCACAGATTGACAGTAGTCATAGTCAGACACACAGATTGACAGACAGTCATGGTCAGACTCACAGATTGACAGTAGTCATAGTCAGACACACAGATTGACAGACAGTCATGGTCAGACTCACAGATTGACAGTAGTCATAGTCAGACACACAGATTGACAGTAGTCATAGTCAGACACACAGATTGACAGACAGTCATGGTCAGACTCACAGATTGACAGTAGTCATAGTCAGACACACAGATTGACAGTACATGTAGTCATAGTCAGACACACAGATTGATAGACAGTCATGGTCAGACTCACAGATTGACAGACAGTCATGGTCAGACTCACAGATTGACAGTAGTCATAGTCAGACACACAGATTGACAGTACATGTAGTCATAGTCAGACACACAGATTGATAGACAGTCATGGTCAGACTCACAGATTGACAGTAGTCATAGTCAGACACACAGATTGACAGTAGTCATAGTCAGACACACAGATTGACAGTAGTCATAGTCAGACACACAGATTGACAGTAGTCATGGTCAGACACACAGATTGACAGTAGTCATAGTCAGACACACAGATTGACAGTAGTCATGGTCAGACACACAGATTGACAGTAGTCATAGTCAGACACACAGATTGTTAGACAGTCATGGTCAGACTCACAGATTGACAGACAGTCATGGATGGACAGTCATTGATGGACAGTCAGATGGACAGACAGTCATGGATGAAACTACATTGTTGCAAGGTGTTTTTCTTAAAAATATTCAGGCTTATAGTTTTAATTAAACAAATATCTGGTTTTGCAGCTGCACATGAAAAAATATCTAATCTGCAAACAAAATGACAGGCCACGCCCAGAATATAAAATGGTCGGTCGCTAAACCTTTTCATGACATATGTTTATCTAAATAAGAATGAAATGGATGAGAAATGCATATAAATTGCTGAAAGGACTGTGCAAGATGTGACGAATCATCACAGGCAGAGAGAAGCAGCATGCAGGGTGAAGGAAGGAAGTGTCCAAACAAGACTCGGCAGTGAGAGTGTTCCATTAGTCAACTCACACCTGATCCCAGCTGAAGTCAAGTTATGATTATGATTATGGTTGTAGTCAAATCAAACACTTTAGGGTGCGATATTAATGTTTACATGCCAATATTGCTGCAGGGGTACATCGTTTAAATATGTTTAGTCAGTGATACAAAAATAATTTGAATGATGTGTGTCCAATACAGTTGTCATATTTATTTGAGGAATGAAACTTTTGATAAATGATTTTTGACACACTGGCAGATTGTTTGCAGTACAGCAGAAACTTCATTTGAACTGACCAAACAAAAATATAAGTAAAATGTTTGGATTCATTCATATAGGTTCCATAATTAAAAAAATAAAGTTTGTCTGTTGTTTAACGCCTCACTCAGCAATATTCCAGCTATGTGACAGCGATCTGTAAATAATCGAGTCTGGACCAGACAATCCAGTGATTGATATAATGAGCATCGATCTACGCAATTGGAATACGATGACATGCATCAACCAAGTCAGCGAGCCTGACCACCTGATGCCGTTAGTCGCCTCTTACAACAAGCATAGTCGCCTTTTGTGGCAAGAATTGGTTGCTGAAGACCTATTCTACCCGGGGTCCAAAAACATAGAGTTTTTTGGAGTGTTTGGTGCAAGAACACAACTGATGACAACGCATGACAACAATGCAAGACACACATAATCAGGATGATTATATATAGGTGTAAATACATACAACACACACGATGTGATTTGTGTTCACTTCTGTCAACACAATACACCATACCAGGCCAACATTTATTTGTTTTGCTTTCCCTAAAAATTCTCCCCTCGACAGGATGCTACAAGAGACACTACATATTCATGTACACAAAACAATCCAAAATTAATTAAACTGAAATGGAGTATTCAACATAATTAGCACCCCAGCCTTCACCAAGTGAGAACTAAGTGGGAACTAAGTGGGAACTTAGCGGGAATGTAACTGGGAAGACCCTTACAAGAAACTTATTTCGAGTTAAACTGTCACATGTAACAAGCTTTCTGATTGGTGGAGAACATGGACCTGGTGAAAATGGCGGAAAACATGGTGTAATCAGTCATTAGACATTTAGCTTCATAGGTTTGGGCACAATTTGGTAAATAAATTATACCACTAACTGTGAATGAAAGAGGTTGAAAACATCTAGAAGACTGGATAAGTGTTGATGTTAAGCAGGGAGCACTCACTTTACCCATCATGTCATTAGGAAATTTTATGAAAGGAGGGTCACTAAATATGTCAATTACCGGTACGTCACATGGCCACATATTTCCAAAACGCTATCACACTTTTCCTCAAACTGTTTTCATTATTAGTCATATTTGACTTCCTAAATAATGTACATCATAGATACACATTTTATCTCAAAATTGTCCAAGAGCTTTTAAGGAATTTGACTTTTTCTTCTACAACAAATTGGTAAAATGTTGGCCTTTTTACCCCAAACGCACACACTCAAGCAGGACATGTATATTACCAGTTCATCAGCCTGTGGTCAAGAAGGTACAATATTACAGTCAATAATATAACAAACAGACAAATCAAATATGAGAAGATAGTAGTTGATAGTACAACAGAAATACATGAACAGAGTTAACTAAGTATACATAAAGTGTCAGTTGACAAGAAGCAAATCATATAATCAAATTGTTCAGCAAAATATTAAAATCTGTTTGCATGCAACATCCTCATCAAACATACTCATCAAAATTAATTAATTAATCCTACTGCACTATCGCTACATTCCTGTGAACAAAGTGATAAATTTACAATACCGAATAGAGGAGAAAGTTCAGTTAAGGTAAAGCTATATCTGAACAGCAAACAAACACTCACCATCCGTTTGGACGATGCCTTGTCATGCTCAGCGAATGCTTTCATTTCATTCTTTTCATGTTTCAACTGAAATGAGAAAAAGGAGACATTAATTAATCATAAGATATTCACTAACAAGGATCACAATGTGTCATATCAAGGATCACAATGTGCCAGGTCAAGGATTACAATGTGCCACATCAAGGATCACAATGTGCCAGGTCAAGGATCACAATGTGCTAATTCCAGGATCACAATGTGCCAGGTCAAGGATTACAATGTGCCACATCAAGGATCACAATGTGCCACATCAAGGATCACAATGTGCCAGGTCAAGGATCACAATGTGCTAATTCCAGGATCACAATGTGCCAGGTCAAGGATTACAATGTGCCACATCAAGGATCACAATGTGCCAGGTCAAGGATCACAATGTGCCACATCAAGGATCACAATGTGCTACATCAAGGTTCACAATGTGCCACATCAAGGATCACAATGTGCCAGGTCAAGGATCACAATGTGCTACATCAAGGATCACAATGTGCCAGGTCAAGGATCACAATGTGCCACATCAAGGATCATAATGTGCTACATCAAGGATCACAATGTGCCACATCAAGGATCACAATGTGCCATGTCAAGGATCACAATGTGCTTCATCAAGGATCACAATGTGCCACATCAAGGATCACAATGTGCCACATCAAGGATCACAATGTGCCAGGTCAAGGATCACAATGTGCTAAATCCAGGATCACAATGTGCCAGGTCAAGGATCATAATGTGCTACATCAAGGATCACAATGTGCCACATCAAGGATCACAATGTGCTACATCAAGGATCACAATGTGCCACATCAAGGATCACAATGTGCAACATCAAGGATCACAATGTGCCACATCAAGGATCACAATGTGCCAGGTCAAGGATCACAATGTGCTAATTCCAGGATCACAATGTGCCAGGTCAAGGATCACAATGTGCTACATCAAGGATCACAATGTGCCACATCAAGGATCACAATGTGCCACATCAAGAATCACAATGTGCCAGGTCAAGGATCACAATGTGCTAAATCCAGGATCACAATGTGCCAGGTCAAGGTTCACAATGTGCAACATTAAGGATCGCAATGTCTCAGGTCAAGGATCACAATGTGCCACATCAAGGATCACAATGTGCCAGGTCAAGGATCACAATGTGCCACATCGAGGTTCACAATGTGCAACATCAAGGATCGCAATGTGCTACATCCAGGATCACATTGTGCCATGTCAAGGATCACAATGTGCCACATCAAGGTTCACAATGTGCCATGTCAAGGATCACAATGTGCAACATCAAGGTTCACAATGTGCCACATCAAGGATCGCAATGTGCCATGTCAAGGATCACAATGTGCTACATCAAGGATCACAATGTGCCATGTCAAGGATCACAATGTGCCAGGTCAAGGATCACAATGTGCCATGTCAAGGATCACAATGTGCAACATCAAGGATCATCATGTGCCACATCAAGGTTCACAATGTGCCACATCAAGGATCACAATGTGTCACATCAAGGATCACAATGTGCCAGGTCAAGGATCACAATGTGCTAATTCCAGGATCACCATGTGCCATGTCAAAGATCACAATGTGCTACATCCAGGGATCACAATGTGCCACATCAAGGATCACAATGTGCCAGGCCAAGGATCACAATGTGCTACATCAAGGATCACAATGTGCCAGGCCAAGGATCACAATGTGCTACATCAAGGTTCACAATGTGCCACATCAAGGATCACAATGTGCTACATCAAGGATCACAATGTGCTACATCAAGGATCACAATGTGCCACATCAAGGATCACAATGTGCCACATCAAGGATTACAATGTGCCAGGTCAAGGATCACAATGTGCTAAATCCAGGATCACAATGTGCCATGTCAAGGATCACAATGTGCTACATCCAGGATCACAATGTGCCATGTCAAGGATCACAATGTGCAACATCAAGGATCATCATGTGCTACATCAAGGTTCACAATGAGCCACATCAAGGATCACAATGTGCTTCATCAAGGATCACAATGTGCTATGTCAAGGATCACAATGTGCTACTTCCAGGATCACAATGTGCCATGTCAAAGATCACAATGTGCTACATCCAGGATCACAATGCGCCAGGTCAAGGATCACAATGTGCCAGGCCAAGGATCACAATGTGCCACATCAAGGATCACAATGTGCCACATCAAGGATCACAATGTGCCACTTCAAGGATCACAATGTGCCACATTAAGGATCACAATGTGCCACGAAAGATGTTTAATGACAGTCAGCAGCATTCCAGCGATATCACAGCCACGTGATCAAGTCCCCATCAGGCAAAATCGTGGCTCAAGGCATTAAAAGCATGAATAACAATCAATTCCATTGACAACTTTCAGCTAAGTACAAATAGAGAATGAAGTTTAAGAACTGTTGGATGCAGAATACAGAATATTAGAGAGTTAATATTGGAAACAGATAAACAAGATAGTAAATAGTGGATAGTGGACAAGGATAGAGGATACTGGAGAGGATAGATGATAAAAAATAGGGGAATGGATAGATAATAGAAGACTCACCTGCTCCACCAACATTCTCTGTTTCTCCAGACACTCACCTGCTCAACCAACATGCTCCAGACACTCACCTGCTCCACCAACATGCTCCAGACACTCACCTGCTCCACCAACATGCTCCAGACACTCACCTGCTCCACCAACATGCTCTGTTTCTCCAGACACTCACCTGCTCCACCAACATTCTGTTTCTCCAGACACACACCTGCTCAACCAACATGCTCCAGACACTCACCTGCTCAACCAACATGCTCTGTTTCTCCAGACACACACCTGCTCAGCCAACATGCTCCAGACACTCACCTGCTCCACCAACATGCTCCAGACACACACCTGCTCCACCAACATTCTGTTTCTCCAGACACTCACCTGCTCAACTAACATGCTCCAGACACTCTCCTGCTCCACCAACATGCTGTTTCTCCAGACACACACCTGCTCAACCAACATGCTCCAGACACTCACCTGCTCAACCAACATGCTCCAGACACTCACCTGCTCAACCAACATGCTCCAGACACTCTCCTGCTCAACCAACATGCTCTGTTTCTCCAGACACTCACCTGCTCCACCAACATTCTGTTTCTCCAGACACACACCTTCTCAACCAACATGCTCCAGACGCTCTCCTGCTCAACCAACATGCTCTGTTTCTCCAGACACACACCTGCTCAACCAACATGCTCCAGACGCTCACCTGCTCCACCAACATGCTCTGTTTTTCCAGACACACACCTGCTCCACCAACATGCTCCAGACACTCTCCTGCTCAACCAACATGCTCTGTTTCTCCAGACACACCTGCTCAACCAACATGCTCCAGACACTCTCCTGCTCAACCAACATGCTCTGTTTCTCCAGACACTCACCTGCTCCACCAACATGCTCTGTTTCTCCAGACACTCACCTGCTCCACCAACATGCTCTGTTTCTCCAGACACTCACCTGCTCCACCAACATTCTCTGTTTCTCCATCTGCTCCATAAGAGTCTCCACCTCCTTGTCTGTAACAGAGGGACAAGGGTTGGGTCTATTGGCAGTCTATAACCTATCTGATCTAGGGAACATAACTTGATTTCACAGGTGGATAAAGTGTTTGCCCATAACCAATTCAAAGGCATTCTCCCTACATTCTACTGATTTTCCCCCTAGAGTCTACTGACTTTCTCTCTACAGTCACTGACTTTCTCCTTACAATCTATTGACTTTCTCCCTACGGTCTACTGACTTTCTCCCTACAGTCTACTGACTTTCTCCCTACAGTCTACTGACTTTCTCTCTACAGTCTACTGACTTTCTCTCTACAGTCTACTGACTTTCTCCCTACAGTCTACTGACTTTCTCCCTTCAGTCTACTGACTTTCTCCCTATGGTCTACTGACTTTCTCGCTTAAGCCTACTGACTTTATGCTTACAGACGACTGACTTTCTCCCTACCAAATACAGCTCACTGACTTTCTCCTTACATTCTACTGACTTTCTCTCAAGCCTACTGACTTTCTCCCTAGAGCCTACTGACTTTCTCCAAAGAGCCTACTGACTTTCTCCAAAGAGCCTACTGACTTTCTCCCAACGATCTACTGACTTTCTCCCAACGATCTACTGACTTTCTCCCAACAATCTAATGACTTTCTCCGAACAGTCACTGACTCTCTCCCTACAGTCACTGACTCTCTCCCTACAGTCACTGACTTTCTCCTTACAGTCACTGACTTTCCCCCTACAGTCTACTGACTTTCTCCCAACGATCTACTCACTTTCTCCCTACAGTCACTGACTTTCTCCCTACAGTCTACTGACTTTCTCTCTACAGTCACTGATTTTCTCCCTACAGTCTACTGACTTTCTCCCAAACGATCTACTGACTTTCTCCCTACAATCTAATGACTTTCTCCCTACAGTCACTGACTTTCTCCCTACAGTCACTGACTTTCTCCCTACAGTCTACTGACTTTCTCCCAACGTTCTACTGACTTTCTGCCGATGTCTGGACTTACTGAGCTGCGTTGTTTCTTCATCCTTGATGTCCAGTGCTTCCTCCAGCCGATCCACCTTCTTCTCATACTTCTGTATCTTGTTCCTGAGCTCCTCTACTGCCTCGGCTGACAACCCTGGAGTACGGGAGCGCAGAGATTCCTCGTCAAGCTGGAGCAAATATTAATTTGTAATCATGACCATTTGATATTATTTGGGCGGGGGATAGGTCTGGTTGTTTTCATAAAAAATAATAATCTCCAAAATGCTCAAGCAATGCTCAATGCTCCCAAGCAAATGCTTTGTCACTCGGCTATACCCAGAGTGTCGTAGATGTTGGCATTTTGGTAAAACCAAACTAAGGATCGTGATCAGGGAAAATCTGGACACACTAGACACAAATTGTGACCCTTCACACAACAGGGCTACCCATGCCACACCATGATTTAATTACATCTTCTGCGTGTGTGTGACCTTAACACAACAGGGCCACCCATGCCACACCATGATTTAATTACATCTTCTGTGCATGCGTGCGTGCGTGCGTGCATGTGTGTCTGTGTGTGTTTGTGTTTATACTGTTTAACACTGCAGTCAAAAATATTCTAGCCATATAACAGCAGCCTATAAATAATCAACTCAGGACCAGACAATCCAGTGATTAATACTATGATCATGACCCATGCCATCGTTATACATTGACACGCCATCAAACAAGTCACAGAATCTGACAACCCGATCCATTAGGTGGCCTCTTATGTTTGTTTGTTTGTTGTTTCATGCTGCACTCAGCTATATTCCAGCTATATAACAGCTGTCTGTAAATAATCGAGTCTGGACCTGACAATCCAGTGATTGATATCATGAGCCGCGATCCACGCAATTGGAATACGACATGCATGAACCAAGTCAGCGAACCTGACCACCCGATCACTTTAGTCACCTCTTGCGACAAGCATTGGTTGCTGGAATCCGTACGGGTTTGGAGATGTCTCAGTGGCTGTGTGGTCACAGGAATGCTTGTTGGTACACCTTTCTCAGGCATCATGTAAGACAAGCAAAAAACATCAATTCTTTGTTAAAATTAGCATTTCTGATTAAATGCAATGTGTTTATACTTACCTGACGCTACACAGTGCTTTAGCTTCCCTACCTTATACAAACAGACAGTACTGGAACGAAGAGACAGTTTAAACAGACTACAGTCTGTGCCTCGGCATCCACGAGTTATCCCCCTTGGCCCCTACTCCTCATATTCTTCACTGGATGACATCAGACGTAGAGTACGGGTCCGGGTGGGCCTTTAGGTGTAGCGTCAGGTAAGTATAAAAACATTGCATTTAATCAGAAATGCTCATGTTTTACCTTACCTGACGCTACACAGTGCTTTATTCGACTGATGGAAGGCGGGCTTACCGTGAGAAGCGCCAGGCACACTGAAGAAGCACAAACAAAACCGTCCGGCAGGTAGCTCAGCAGGCGACAGCAAGCAGCGGCTCCCGGGACGGCAGGAAAGGGGATAAGATGCAGTCGAGCCCTCTCGGAACAGAATGGTGGTCTGAATGGTAGAGAGAACAATGCTTGACAGAGGGTAAAAGTAAGGTATTCCCTGACCCGCTCAAAAGAGAGGGGGAAACACGGGACCAAAACTTTACGAGGTACCGACATAACAGTACCCAGCAACCCAAGAGGAACAGCACAAGGGATGGTCCCACCTTGTCGACAGCCATGTTCCTCGGCATCGGCACGGTCAGTGGGGGTTGGTCAGCTGTTGGGCCAGGACAAGTGGATCAAAGCTATGTGTACCCTCGACGTCCTCTGCGAAGATAATGTCTGGCGAAGAGAGTAGTAGATGACCAGAAGCACCCCTCCTGATGGATCGGACGGAGACATTAGCATGGAGGGCGAGCGAAGAAGACAGGGCACAGATCTCATGTGGATTGGAGGCTGTAGGTGGTGGTAAGTCAGCACGACGATAAGCCCTCAGGATAGCAGAACGAAGCCAAAGAGAGACTGTATTACGAGAGATCTCTGCAGAGCTACGGCTGGAAAGTGGCATGAACAGCCTCTGGCGCTGCTTGCGATGTTGCTGAGACACCTGAAGATAACGTCGGAGAGCCCGAACTGGGCAGAGGGCGATCTCCAGGTCATCATCAAGGCCAACGATCTCCAAAAGAGACGGGACGTAAAATTGCCGATCGGGTTGGCCGGGCAGTTGGTTATTGGCTATAAAGTCCCAACAAAGGCCAAGGTGAACCAAACCATGAGGACGCTGGTCGAATCGGACACAGGTCACATCCAGGGCATGAAGCTCGCTAACCCTGGCATTAGAAAGCAAGTCTTCAAGGTGAGATCTTCAAATGAGGCAGACACAAGTGGCTCATACGGAGCCCGGCGTAAATCCTGCAAAACAACATTGAGATCCTAAGCTGGGGGGCGGAACTTCTTAGTCCGGTCCTCCAGTCGAAAACCTCGGACCATGGCAAAAGAGCTGGGACAGATGATAGCCTGGAACCTCTAGCAATCTTGAGGACAGAATTGAGCGCAGCAAGATAGGTCGCAATCGTGGAACCAGCCAAGTGACGGGATTGGCATGGGAAAATAAAAAAATCATATAGGGATATGTCATCATATAGGGAGCGAGTGGAGGGACAATGAGCTCTGGAAACAGCCGCCGCAGCAGGAGCTGAAAAGCCTTTTGTGGTCAGTGACTTCTGGAGACACGCCAACGTGCAGACTGTAAGCGTCGGGTCTGGATGTGGTTGTCTGGTGTGAGGATTGAGCAGTAGATTTGGCCACGCTGGGAGCCGCAACACGGGTTCTCCTGCGAGCTGAAGGAGCTTGGAAAAACCAAATCTGGGACGGCCAGTAAGGCGCGACCAAAGCAAATCCAAAGGACAGGTCCGGGTCGCCTTCTGAATGACCTGGGGGAGAAGAACTGGGGGCGGAAAAGCGTACTCACTTAGGCCGACCCAGGACAGAGGGAGGCCGTCTACCTCCCAACAGCTGGGTCTGGGACCCGAGACACGTACACCGGCAATTGGTGGTTGCACATCGTTGTGGAGAGATCCACGTTGGGAGTCCCATGGGGATCGCACAAGGCTTCTGGGTGGAGCATCCACTCTGTGGGGGACGGACGATTGTGTCTTGACAGGAAGTCGGCTAAGACGTTGCGACAAAAGGAATGAGATGGGCTCGTATCAGAAGAGGAAGACTGTCGGCCAGATGAAACAGGCAAAAGGTCTGCTCCAGGAGAGAAGCAGATCGAGTCGACCCTTGCCTGTTGATGTAATACACTACCGTGGAGTTGTCCGAGTCGACCATGGGACAACTGTTGCGGAGTATTTGACGCCAATGATGAATCGCCCGAATGACCGCCTCCAACTCCAGATTGTAGATGTGCCATGCACGTTCCGCAGGAGTACAAAGACCGGAGGCGGTTTCCTGGAGAAGGTGGGCGCCCACAAAGAGAGACGCGTCCACAAAGAGATGGTGAGTGGCCTCAAAGCTTGTCATAGAGGAGCCACTCAAGACGTTCGATGGGACTAGCCACCACTCCAGGAACGGACGTAATTCCCTTGGCAAAGGAAGAAGGGGACCCAACAGGTCTGAGCGCAGAATGGCAGGAAAAACTGTTGAAGGGGACGCAGTTGAAGACGAAGGTTAGATCCTGAGCTGAGGTCAACAGCCCGAGAAGGCTCTGCCCCTGACGGATATCGAGAGGTTGTGAGAGGGCTTTCCTGACCCTGGATTGGATCGCCACGAACCGATCCGGAGGAACCTGTATCAAGGAGAGGTCTGTCAGAAGGAGACCGCCTATGAAGGTGAGATGGCGAGAGGGAGACAGATCCGATTTCTCCATGTTGATCAACCAAGCCAACCGATGGAGAAGGCGAAGGGTGAAATCGCGCTGAAGAATCAGTGTCGGATTGACGCCGTGACCGAGGATGTAGTCGTTGAGGTAGGCTCCTAACCAAATCCCCCTGTGGTGAAGGGACGCAACAATGGGATGGGTTATACGTGTGAATAACCACGTAGCCGTGGAAATGCCCTGAAATATGAAGCGGAGGAAACGACGATGTGCTGCCTGAATGGGAACGTGCAGGTAGGCATCCTGGAGATCCAGACTGATGAGATAGTCCATCAGTTGAAGGAGGTGGCGCAGAGACCGGATGGAGATCATCTGGAAGTATGGTGGAGGCGCAAGATAATGGCGGTTGAATGGCGCCAGATTGTGGATCATTCAGAGTTAAGAACCCTTCTTGGGCACCAGGAAGACTGGCGAATAAAACCCTGGAGAGATGGAGTCGGCGTCCAGGCGATCCACTGCATTCTTTGTGATCAGGAGATCGATAATGGCCTGAAGCTCCGGCACATCGTGAGGCTGATATCGAGTTGCCAAGGGAGTGGTAGTCAGAGGAGGATTGGCCCGGGACTGGCGAACGGATCCTAGAGCAGCTGCCAATTCCTCCAGTAAGCCTGAAGTCTCCCTCCTACTGGAGACGGATGAACAGGGACAACTGGCGGAGGGAGTTACCAGTTGTCGGGCGTCTGAAGTAATGGTCCATGTTGTTAAGAAGTCGGAACTATTGCTGATGAGCGTCCCAACTCGGGCCTCCTGAGCAACAGTCGAGATCTGGCCGTTGAAGAGTGTTGACCAAGACACTAAGGTAGGGAAGCTAAAGCACTGTGTAGCGTCAGGTAAGGTAAAACATATAAAAACAGTTCTCATAAACATCCTCTGTATGTAAGACACTCAACATTCATCATCACAAAGCTCAAGCTGGATTAATCACACTCCAGGGTTAACAATCCTCATGCATGTATCTGTGAGATCTGTACTTTGTCCCACATTTGACTCAGTTAACCCAGCAGTAAATGGGTACCGGGTTAGATGAGAAAAATCACTGCAACCCACCGTAACCTACTTGACATCTCCAGGCTTGTAACGAGCCACACTACAGTTGATGTCAAAGAATTTTGATGAAGTCATAGCAGTACACGTCATCTAAAGTCTTACACTAATCATAGATTTCCTGGTTTGAAATGAAGCTTTTTCAGAGTTGAAAATCCAACATGGATATTGATGTATTTGTGATCAGAATAGAAATATCATTTCAATTTAACTTGTATGCAACCAAGGCTAGAACTGAAGAAGTTTTACTTTTGTGCGACCCCTAGGACTCCTTATAATTCATTGAATCCATTTTAAAATATTATTTATACAGAACCTCATATAATGCGCCCAGAAAAACCCTGCTAGCATATATCTTTGTCTGTGTTGTTTGTTTGTTGCTAAACGCCAGATTCCTAACCTGGCATCCCCATGGGGCTGCATATAACTATTCCCCATTTAAGCACTGAGGTTTTGAAGGTTAAAACACAACAACCGGACATACAGAAAAACATCAAAGGGAGGTAACAATTGTTAAATAAGGTATGCTCATATATATAATACTGTATATCAGGGTGACTGAGCTGTAAACAGTTGTTAGGGGAACATTATACATCAGTAGTATGCATAAACCAGCGTGACTGCATTGTAAACAGTTGTTGGGGGAACATGACATATAAGTATTGTGTTAACCAGGGTGACTGCGCTGTAAACAATTGTTAGGGAAACATTATAGATCAGTAGTATGTGTAAACCCAGGTGATGGTGCTTTAAACAGTTGTTAGGGGAACATTATGTAAACAGTTGTTAGGGAAACACTGTAGATTAAAGCAGGACACAATCGAGCACAGTAGAGTGAGGTTACCAGCAGGGTAGGTGTGGGGTCGGTACCGCTCCGGGTCATCTCCGACCTCGAGCACTGCTGCAAAAATGTAGCATGGAACAACCTCATTGCGGTCAACATTCAAATCTGTGACTCATTCCTTGCCATTAAGTTACTTTCATCTGACAAAGAAACAAGGGTAGTCTAGCAATGATCTCTGAAGCACTGATGTGGGCAGGTAGCCTATGTAGCAGTCCAAGCTGTATTCCGTGGTCAATTTTTGTAAATTCTGCATCCAATTTTTTGTTATTTGCTAATTTTTATAATTCTGCACCAAGTTTACGTGAATTTCCTTGTTTTGCTTCTGTTCACTAGTGGCAGTCATTAATAGATCATTTGTAAATTGTTTCTTCTTATTTCCATATAACGCAAACACCTCAAATTTGGAATGATGTTTTTAATTCAGAGCACAATTCAAATAACGACTGTTCGTTTCAGTAAACCAGTGCAACTTTTACATGTTTAGTACCGGCTTTCGACTCGCATGTTAAGTGTATTTGACATCTTCCATGGCAGAAAAATGCGAAATTCTGCAAAAGTTCTGCACAAAAAGTGACTTTCTGCTAGATAGGTACATTTCTGCACTGCGTTGCAATTTCTGAAAAATATTCCACAAGCACGGAAATTGCGGAATACAGCAGAGATTGATAGTAGCGTTTTAGGGCAATGGCATCTTACTTAAGGGTTTAGATCTAAAGTAAGTGAAGGTGATTGTGCATTCTACAATGCTAAATGCATATATTAACTACTACTCCAAATTCATACTTTACTGCAGAGGTATACAGAGAAGATCTCTCACTGTGCTAACAGCTTGGCTTCTAAGTTTTGTTTATAGCATATAAATGTTTAGATCTAGTGTGAACAGTTAAGTTAAGTCCAAAAGATGTATTGATTGAACATAAAATCTTTATTAGATCCAGGGTAAAAAATGTATGATGCAGTGAAAAGGATCTTGAAATGGGACACTATAAAGGGAGACAACTCTCACCTTGTTGTCCACTGGCTGCTGCTGGTATTGAGCAAGCTGGAGTTTGAGCATGTGTATGGCGGCCTCGTTCCGCTGAATGGTCTGCTGCATCTCACGGTACTTCTCGTCCAGAAGGTCGGCGCCAGCGTTATGTTTATTCCGCTCTAACCTCATTTTTCGCTCAAAATTTTTCTGGAAGAGAGAAAAGTTCAATATATGAATTATATTTTAATCTGCAGTTCCATGATCAACTTCACGAGGGATGACTATCGAGGGCCATAGATGCCAACCCTAATTGAAGCTTTCGAGTAATTAGGGGGGTGAAAATGAGTACTTTCATGTGAAAGAGAGTAACGTCAACAGTACCAGTACCCTTAAAGATTGAATTTGAGCCATAAAATGAGTGTGTTTTAACCAATCAGAGACCTTGTATGATGGAATAACGGTACTTTTTTCACTTTGTACATGAGGCTAAAAATAATAATAGTTTTGGTTCTCAGGCACCACCGACATCATCATAAAGTCTGCTGCATGTTTTGTTTCTATTTCCATTTTCAAAACAATATAAAAATCCTAAAACTTAAACACAATGCACAAAAAAAATAAAAAAAGGAAACAAAAACGAAACGTGCAATGAACCTTATGATGATGTGGGCAGTGCCTGAGAACCAAGACTATTTTTTTTTTAGCCTAATGTTGATATCTGATATAAGAAATACACAACAGCTTCACAAACAGCCTTAAATTTAACATGCTGCACATGCATCTTGCTGGGTGAGCGTAAACTGCGCATGCTCTAGACAGAATAGTATAGTGAAGAATTGAGTAGAAATAGTCGAGAGAGTTATCCATTCACATTGTAAACGCTAATTAAACAGCAATTTAACTTAAGTTTCAAATTAATCTAATTGTATCTTATTACATTTTCATTGCTCATTACATCGTAGGGGATATCACATTTAGTTGATTATGAGGCGATTTCATGTTTCGTTGATTGCAAGGTAAGTTCAGGTTTAGTTAATTGAGTTTTGTTTCCCCTGCGAACCATACGTTCAGAAAAAATGACTTGGCCTTACTTTGTACAGCGCAGAGATTCTTGCAATTGCATCTGACAGTTGTTGCCGATATGCATTACGGACAGTATTCACTCTCTGAAACACAAACAGAAAATTAGCATACACAGCAATAGAAACTGGCACTAGTACCACAGTCCTTGCCAAACTGCCCAATAATCATAAGGACTAGTAGAAATTTGCCCTTTTTAAGGGTTTTACATGTTTTCATCATACAACCTATTGGATTGAAAATGTTAGTTTCTAATGCTAATACAGGAAAAAACAATATAAATATAAGTTTAAAGAGTTCTTTGGGGTGATTTGTCCTAACAAACAGATTATTCTCTTTTGGGTTTGGGTTTGAGATTCAGAAACCAGATATGCTTCTCATACCAAGACTTCAGGAGCCTCCATCAGATTGGCTGACTTGACAGTTCCCCCGATGTGACCTCATATGGAGGGGTCATCAGATTTTGACAAAGATTTATCAAACCAGGGTAGAAGAGTTTATGAGGTAATCATGGTGAGAAAAACTTCTCATCTTTGGCGATTTTGAAGTATCAAGAGAAAACCAAACTATTACGCAAATAAGGGTTGAAAATATCTAAATAACATAAATACATTGCAGAACTTGAGTTTATTTTTGTAAATTTTTGGAGCCATGCTTTATCACGCACTATTACCAAGTTATTGAAGAGCGCAATGGCGAGGGAACCCTGTATCAATATTGATCATTCCATGATAAAAGACGTAAATATTTGACAGATAGATCTTGACAGAGTTGTCCACCATCTTATCTTTACTATCAAGCTCCTCACAGCGATAGCCCGTTCACGGAGCTCTCTATACTATCGCTGCCACCAGTCAAAACTCCCCACTGTGATAGGCGGCCCCAACCATGCTTGGAGTTGAACTCGCAGCCGAATGACCATTATGTTTACAAACAAGTGACGACTGTCGTGACGCCGAAAACACTTACCGCTGCTCAATTACTGTTCTTTGCTTTTCAATTTGAATTTCTATTTCATTAAAACTATCATTTTATTGATATAGTAAGAATGTAAGGGAGACGTTGGTTGATTTTTCGTTAGTCTGCAATCTCGAACCAATCTGATTATACAAACAACAAAGTAAATTCATCTGGAAAACATGGTCAGTCGTAAACCTTTTCAAAATTCACAATGATGGCATTCCCAAAGTCATAAACAAAAGTATGAACATTACTACATTTGGGGTTAGAGGCCAAATTTCAAGATTCTTGAAATGGCCGCGTCCACACTGGTGGCAGCGATGTTACCGAGAGTGTAACGAAGGTGTCACACGCTGGGAAGGAGCTTGCTTTACTACCGGGGTATGTTATTCCACGGGGACCCAGTTAGAAGCGGTTCCCAGCAGTCTATTGCTGGTTGTAAGTTGCAGCTAATAAAGTGGTCAAGTCCATGGGTCGTCTGGTCATCACAGCATGTGACATCAAGTTAGAATATCAACCACAGGTTTGTCTGACCCACATTCGATTACTTAAAGGCGGCGTGAGATAGCTGGAATATTGCTGACTTCAGCCTAAAACGACCGTGCTCTGTAATATACAAGAAGGTCCAACGCCATGTTTGTACTCACATCTTCGTGCAACTTCTCCAACTCTGATACTCGCTCGTTTATTCGGCAGTACCTGTGACAAATTTCATTTTCAGTTGTGTGTATTAAAGCGAAAAACATAGCTCCAGCATTGAGGTTTTGCATGTTGACAAGCAGGGCTAGTAATGAACCATGATAGAAGTGTTAAAATTCCTCCATCCTCATAACAAAGTCAGAAACTTTTCCCAAACTTACTTGTACAGCAATAAATATTTCTAAATTTTAACCAAACCAGTAAAGTAACTGTTGCAAGCAAACAATAACAGAAAAAAGACAGACAAACAACAATGACAACGACAATTTGATTGTCTGTGTTTTAAAACAATAATAAACAAAAGCATGTGTATATAGTATTTATTTTTGTCAGTCTCAACTAAATCAAGCATACTCACAGATCTAGTGACTTTTCTTTAAGTTTTGATTCATAATCAGCCTGCATCACATGCTTAGTGAAGTTGATATCTCTCCTTAGTGCAGCTACATCCTATGTGAACAAAACATCATGCAACAGAATGATTACAGCTCGAGTTGGGACGGGTAACTCGGGCACTTGGGTCGGGTGGGTCCTGAGTAGAACCCGGGTATTCACGGGACTACCTGGACTTGTGTTTAGTCACATGATATATTGTTTAAAGACAATAAAACTCCATGGTTACACTACAAGTCACTAATGTTCATTATTCTTTCTGATAATGCACGCATTCCTTCTGACTTTTATATGTTTGAGTAAAGATAAAACTCTGTCAACTTCAGTGCATGCATGATGAGATTGTTTCATACGTGTATCTGAAAAGTTTTTGCCAGGGCTCCAGTAAAACAATTCATAACTGGACACTTTGTACCCAACTCTGGAGACCTATAGCGGGTCTTCGGGTCATCGCTTAAATATTTCTAGATCAACAGCGATACAAGCGATACAAGCGATACAAGGTAAGCGATACTGTACACAGTGTCTGACCTTGTGTAAAGATATAATAGGATAGTGCATTTATAACACTCGTGATATTAATTGATCTAGAAATACCCAGGTAGTAAATCTGGACCCATCCCAGCCCTAATTGCAGTCTTTATCAGTGATCAGGGTGAAGCTGATAGGGTTTTATCAACAGCTTACCATTAACGGTACATTGCATTATATTTATATTGTACCCTGGTTGGTATATTCGCATTTTCATGTACCCAGAACACCTCAAATTATACCCAAGTTTTCCTAGTTAATAAATCTTGGGAAATTCCTTCAGTGTGTGCAAGCAGGAAGCCTGGGTAGACACAGTGGAGGACGTCATGTGTACATGAGACAGGTCGCCCGTTACCTGTACAAGTAGCAACCTGAGACAGGTACTCGTAGACATGACTGCCTGTCCATGGACCACAGATCTGCATGTAGCACAAAAATGTTTCTCCAAGTGTTAATCATCAAAATAATAAAACGAAAATATGTTCTGTATATTGATAATTATAAACATTATTGAATGACACCAAAACAAATGAAAAGACAAAAGTGGTCAAATTTGAAGAAAAATGTGCAAATCTGGAGCAAAATGAGCCATTTTTTAACAGCTAATTTCTCCTATGAACATATGTTTCATAAACTAAAATTTAGTATTTTCTAAATGCTTATTCAAGGTAGATTTACAAAAGTTAAAGGAACATACAGACATTTATAATACAATGGGTAGGTTTCTTGGCAAGATAAAGCCAACCGATGAAAACAGTATCTGTTGGGGTCATCAACAAACATGGCACTGCCATTTACATGCTTTCCAAGTCAATTTCTGGTAGGCTAAAACTAGCAGTTTTTACAAATGAGATCCTGATAAGATGCAAGTATAAAACAGCATATGTTACAACAAAAACACACGTTTCAGCTGATCTTCAGAAATATTTAACAGATTTCTTGCCTACAGAAGTTGTAATCACTTCAAAAATAAAATGTGCATGAAAGCCAATGAAGAAATATATGACTAATTTAACTTATTTACTTGTAACAAGACTTGCAGAACTTCTGTCATTTCCTTGAGGTCAACCACTTCTGTGATGTCTGTTTGTGACGCTCGGTCCAGGCTGAAGAAACCAATCTTCTGTTGATCTGCCAAAGCTGGCCTGAAATATTTGGAAAAGATATAAAATGACAATAATATATCTCATTCACAAAAACCAAATATAATGAGTCAACAAAAAGAACAGAAAGAATCACATAGATATGCAATTTGAGACAAATATATTGGTTCCAATTGAAAACCAAACTTTGACATAAAATATGTCCCTTTTCAGTTGACAATAAATCATAACAGTAAATAGCAAAGTGGGATATATAGAAATACTTTGATCCAGTTCCAACAGATTGGTAGATTGGGATCCCTTCTAAAATTGTAAGTGCCATAGACATCTTGGACATCAGTTCTACACACAAAATGCTATTTCATACACTTCCGGTTCATCACAGTTGTGCAAATCGTCACAAGATACGTCATATATCTGTGACGTCATATGATACTCATCGATATGTGACGTCACATTCCGTACGTGCCCGTGCGTCATCCGATTGTTCACCCACGATTGAAGTTCTACGCGATGTACCAAGAACTCGAAAAGACGCACGTCTAAGTGAAAAGTACACGCCGTATTGCAAATAAGTACGCCAAATATGAATATACTTCTGACCTGACCACCAGCTGACCGCTGTCGCTGGATGTGTTTTAAAGTTGCCAAATTTGGCTACAAACTATAAAGTATATTTATTCTACTCACCTAAATAAATCAACTTCATTTTCTTTGGCTCCGTAAATGTACGCCAACCGGTCCTGCAATTCCTGCTCAGCGATATTATATTCTTGGTGAACGACCCGAGTGCTTATCACCGCCATTATTGTTTTGGCAACACAATCGGACAGTGGCGAGCAAACAACTTCCTCTCAAGGGAGCGAACTCTTTCACGTCGTGTTTACTGTAAACCTGTCCGGTGTATCGCCCGTTTGGGCGGATATTATAAATACGTGTTTGCGACATATCTGTAACTTTTCAAATGTATGGCTTTTTTTGGAGGATTTACATTCATTAGCTATTTTATGATGTAGTGTGATATATGTGACATGTACGTCTTCTATGATATTATGAAAAAAAGCGTTTGTAATAAAGAAGGAATTTGTTCAAAGCTCAATCTCAATTTCCATCTATTCGTTTTTCTTTTGTTTTTCGTGGGAACATGTTCTCCAATTATGAAAATGTAATATCTATTTTGTCACAGAAGGCTAATGCACACTTTTACAAATTTTGATAAAAAAAATAAGAAGAAGAAATGTCCAAACGATTTCGAGCTTCAATCCCAATTTATCAAAAACGAATCCAGACTGCCATTCATTTTACAACATCTGGTAGGCTATGCTGACTGGTCATTGTCAGGGGCGCAACTAGGCTAATTTTAAGTGTAAGCAAAACCAATTTTCTGAAAGCGTAATCGCTATTCCCTGCATTTTGGGACCGCCTCCGTGGTCGAGCGGAAGGTACGGGGTTCGATCCCGGCCGCGTCATACCAAAAGACGTTTAAAAAATGGTACTTGTTGTTACCCTGTCTGGCGCTCGGCATTAAGGGGCTAAAACAAGGACTGGTCGGCTCGGAGTCAGTATACTGTGTCTGAGTGGGGTATTCATGTTAAACTGCGGCATGGTATCCCAGTGTGCTAGCACTATAAATCGGCATCAGTCCGGACTAGTACAAGTAGCCACACACACACACACACACACACACACACACACACACACACACACACCCCACATATATAAACTTATTTCACCAACACATTTTCGACACAATGAAATACATATTAAATATAAAGTCACCATGTCATTGACAGAATCGTAGAGTCTTGATCTTTCAATAAACCTTGAAATGTTTGTGACAAATCAGTTATAATTCAAGATTAGGGCAATTCGGCGGTTCCGTCCTCCAGCAAAGTCGTCAATCACTTCGTCAATGGCAATGGCAATTTCCTTGTGGAAGTGGAGGAGTGCCACAGAGCCCATTCTCTCGTTGGTCATTGTTGACGTGAGGCATGTCTTGATCCGCCCCATTGTGCTGAACCAACGTTCTGCGGTGGCAGAACTCACTGGCAGTCACCAGGGTTTTCACAGCTATGGTGAACCATCTACCACTGAAATCCTAAAGTGCGTAAAGATTCCGATTATCACGGGTGGCCCAGAGTCGTCTAAGGCGCCGCGATTCGCTGTGCAGAGTTGTGTCCCTTGGACATGCCAGAAACCTATGATTGTGGGTTCGAATCCCGGTTCGCCCCGATTATGTTTCTAGGTTTGTCAGCACCATACCCGTGCTTGTGGGTTTCACGAAAGTGGTAAACGTGGTAAACTTCGGGCTTTCTTCCCACGGATCTGTATAAACTCATATAAATATTGTATATATGTTATTTCAGTTTGTATAGATATAATAAAAATAAGACATATCTACTAAAAGCATTTCACGATTCCGACTATATTACCAGCATACGTCATTGGATAACAGTCATATAGTGATGATACCGGTTGTTCGACTAATAATGCATAAGAAGAGTCACATGTCATATGAAATATCACACAGTATTGCCATTCACGGTGGAGCGAAGGCCGCAATTGAATTGTGATATATCCCCGGTGAACATGTTTCAAGCCATCTCGATGATTTTCTGTGGAATAGTTCAAAACAGAATATGTGATATTGTGATAAATGCAGTTGTGGACTACTCGCTGTGGTCAACGTTGTAGTCTTCAACACAACCCCACTAATAAAAACATCATGACACTGAACCCATCTGGACGGCCAATCAAAAACACTGGGGCGAGGTCAAAGACACTGAAAGATGTGAGGTTCCAGGTCACATGACAAGGTTCCACAGCAACCGCACTGAGAGGGAGAACACACACTCCACAAGAACAGAGAACAAAAATGAGGAATCCAACTCATTCAAGCAACGATCAACTCCCTAGCAGCAATTCAAACTATAAGCCTAACTATATTTTTAAAACAAAACACATCTGACAACAATGTATTTTTTAGGCTGACAGTTTCTTTTTTTAAATAGTCTGAAGCATAGTTATTTTTCAGGCATTTTCTGAAACAATTTTTTAAAGCGTAAAATTGGGATACTTCACGATGCTTTTCGCAATGTCCCAGAAATATCATGATGTTTTTATTAGTGGGGTTTGTACTCTGACACTATGCTTGTCGCAATAGGTGACTAACGGGATCGGGTGGTCAGACTTGCTGACTTGGTTGATGCATGTCATCGTTTCCCAATTGCGTGGATCGAAGCTCATGATGTCATTCACTGGATTGTCTGTTCCAGACCGCCGTCACATAGCTGGAACATTGCTGAGTGCGGCGTTAAACAACAAACAAACAACTAAACATTAGGTTAGTGAGTGAGTTGGTTTTAGGACACTTTAAACAGTATGTCAGATCTGTGACAGCGTGTCAGCTTAATGTGGATGGAAATCCCAAAATGGCGAATGTCGGTAACATCACACTCCAGCATATTGTATTGCATTGTGTAAATTCCGTTGTTCTAATAATAAACTGTTAATTGAAGAAGCGAGAAAGATGAGTTCAGTCCGCAATGAAAGATCCATTTTCATTTTCCTTATCACTAGGGGGCACGGGTGGCCCAGTCGTCTAAGGCGCCGCGATTCGTTTTGCAGAGTTGCGTCCCTTGGGCGCGCCAGAAACCGATGATCGTGGGTTCGAATCCCATTTCGCCCCGATTATGTTTCTAGGTTTGTCAGCATCATACCCTTGCTCGTGGGTTTCACCGAAGTGGTAACGTCTGAGACCTGCATCACTTCGGGCTTTCCTCCCAAATTAAGCTGACACGCCGCAAAATAACCCAACTCACTCACTCACTCACTCACTCTCCCTTGTCGCTAGTTGTAACGGGAACAATACTTTAAGTATAAGCGACAGTGTCAATCATTGTTGTGACGGGAACACTATGTTTAGTATAAGCGACAGTGTCAATCATTGTTGTGACGGGAACACTACGTTTAGTGTAAACGACAGTGTCAATCATTGTTGTAAAGGGAACACTACGTTTAATATAAGCGACAGTGTCAATCATTGTTGTAACGGGAACACTACTTTAAGTATAAGCGACAGTGTCAATCTTTGTTGTAACGGGAACACTACGTTAAGTATAAGCGACAGTGTCAATCATTGTTGTAACGGGAACATTACGTTTAGTGTAAGCGACAATGTTGTAACGGGGACACTAATAGTGTAGACTACAATGTCAATCATTGTTGTAACGGAATCAGTATTTATAGTATAGGGTACAAGTTGATTCATTGTTGCAACGGAATCAGTATTTATAGTGTAGGGTACAATGGGATTCATTGTTGCAACGGAATCAGTGTTTATAATGTGGGCACAATGTGATTCATTGTTGTAACTGAAACACTATTTATAGTGTAGACTACAATGTCAACCCTTTCTGTAACGGGGACGCTATTTATATTATAGTCTGCATTGTCAATCATTGCGTCAGAACGACCTTTAATCCAACCAATCAAAGCGTCGCTTACCACAGATCATGAAAGTGACAGTCGGAATGCGTTTTCTAATCATGCAACCTCGAAAACGTTAACACGGGGTATTCAGACAGTTACGGCCCGTACGGCTGATTCCGTCAAAATGATCGTCTATCTCTCGCTTCCGTGGGATAAACATTTGAACGGAGGAGGCGTTGCACAGTACGTGGGAAGCACTGCAATACAATCGTAACCATATATCAGACACTCCGGAATGTTCGTTCGTTCAACTGTGTCAACATATTTTTTAAGCGTAGTCTGAAATGGAAGTCGCCAAGTTGAAACTAGTGCCGTAAAGCTCGAGAAAGCTGCTTTCTAATTGGCTGATGTCGACTTCTTGTCAGTCATTTCAGTGGTCGGTCAAAGTTCGCGAAAAGTCGTTCTGACGTGACCCGTAATTGGATGTCCTCAGATCTTTGTTTAGCGGCAGCGAGAACTTAGATCTGATTTTAATGAGATTGCTCCAAATACTGATTGTCATATCTATCCCGCTTTTGGATGCGATTGTTCGGCCATCGCGTGTATCTGCTTGCCCAGCTACATCTATGGGGAACAACTCACGAGACACTCCCCTCTCAAAAATAACGTCGTCTATTATACGACGTCATCAAGTTGCGAGCGCATGTTCGAATCTCCAGAAATGACGTAATGAAAGAACAATGTTTTATCGTGAAATAAACCGCACTTTGTTCTTCATTTTTCTTTGCGATTTATCTCATAGCTATATTATATAATAAGTTACAAACTTGAATATGTAATATCCAGATTTCATATTTAGATATTAAACCACCGTTTATAAAAACATCATTGTGGGACTAAATTAACAATGGGATCATGTTTACACACGAAGGGTTCCAAACCACGAGCAGTATAATTGATAAGCACAATGTCATCTG